GGACTTGAGTTAAAGAGACTTCACACTGATAATGACCTCGTTACTCTGGAAAAGATGACAGGGAAGTAACAGAAAAAGTGAGGTGAAATGAGAGCAAAGTAACGCACCCTTCTCCTGTGACTGGTAGTGGAGCACTTGCATGTGGAAGGAAATGGAAATGTGTGGACAAGAGCCTACTGCCGTACAGTTGTCCCAGAAGTTTTGGAAGTTCTGAAAAAATTTTGTCAGAGGCAACAAAGAGATTTCTGGAGGCTATGTTCCATTTAGAGAGTGTTCCCAGATGAAGAAATTTGTAAGGAGGAGTGGGTGAGCTGCCAAACTCATAATGAATCTTTGGGTTGGGGCCAGAGGCCAGTGAGTTTGGGAAACATCTCAGAGTAAGGATGGGGCCAAGGAGTATGGGGGCAGGTCTTGGACCCATGGTCTGTCCCACAGCTGGGAAGAGGTGGAGTCACCTGCAGGACCAAGTGCAGCACATACGTGTGCCAGGTAAGGGGTACCGAGCAGTCCCCAACACCTACTTCAGGAGCTAGGGATGGTTGTATCTGAAATCCACCAAAACACCCTTTTCCCCGTCTTTCAATTAGAATGAGAAAAGAGGTGGAAGTAAGCTTGCAGAAGGTATCTCACTAGAGCCAAGAAGTGCTTGGAATTATTGCTATTTTTCATTTATTCCTGGCAACAGCCACAAAATGTGTTTTCCAAACAGGAACAATGTCACATTTACTGCTGTGTGCTTCATGCTTGAGTTTTGCTAAGGAAGCTACTGCACTTTCCTAGAAGGTGTATGTAGAGCCTTTCTTCCCATTAGAGTGTCTTACTCCTGGTATATGTGTGAAAGAATTGCAAATTTGAGTATAGTGTGCTTGCTCAATTGTAACAAGGAGACAGTCAAACCTTCTGATTGAACTGAGAAATCTTTTGGAAATATCTGTACCTGTCAAACCCTGTCAAATTAACTTTCTGGCTGGATACTCAGCCAGGGAAAACCACAATTCTGGAACTTTAAGAAGAAATAATTGATACCATCAGGTTCACACATTTTGCAACAAATTTGGTACCAAGGTTTGTAAAGAAAGAAATTGTAAAGAAAAGAAAAGCAAATAAGGTTGAGGGAAAATGAAATAATAAAATGACAAAGAAAGAAATGAAATTTAGAAAGAAATTTTATAATGTGCTAGCTGGGAGAACAGTCTTCTCCTGATATTTAATTGAGTGAAGACTTTGGTTCTGTTATTCAGATAAAGATAAAAATCTAAAAATAAACCTTGTTGTTACTGGCAATCTCACACAACATGTAATTTTTTGTATCTACATCAAAGTGAGCTAAGAAACACAAGCTATTGAACCTTAAAGTTGTCACTAATGCATTGCTTGCTCAGGCAATAATTTGTCTATGATCTCATTTTTTCTTAGCTGATCTCATCCTTCCTTTTGCTTAAATTGTCTTAGTCTATAGCAAAAGTCTTAATGGAACTGGTATTTACTTGTTATAAATTGCATTTTCAGTGTCTAAATGTCTTAATACTGGTGTAGTATTTACCAAATAGAGTAATTAAGGAATTGTAAAAATGTAGGACAACAACAGAAAATAAATAACTTCATTCTAAACAATCTTTTCAAGGCAGACAGCTTGCAAAAACTGTTGAAAAAAATTATCATCTAAAACTTGGAGCCTTTGAGTGTGTTCAGCTTGAATAACCCAAAATGGAAATGTTTGAGGATACCGATAAATTAAATAATGTCAAGGGACATTTTTGGGCATTGGGACTCCACCATTATTATTGTTAAATTGCTAGAGCTGTCTCTGGCCCATGTTGATTAGCACTCCCCAAGCAACTTCTGTGCATGATGCAGAGGACATGGGGGGCAGGGATTATTCCCGGTAGGCTGTTTGCATGTCGCCACTCTGTTTTAGTAGGAAGGTGAATTTAATGCTGTGAATGTGGACCAGCTATCTGGGCTATCGATTACTGAAAGTAACTTCATAAAACTTTAGAAATGTGAGATACTCCTTTAAGGTGTATTTTATGCATCTATCTAACTGGATCCCAGCTGGATTCTTCCAGGGAGAGCCAAAATCTCCTTGTGTTGTTAATTTTGCAGAGGTGGCATCACAGTAACTGTCATTTCTAGAGAAACTGGGTATTGAGCACAGAAGGACAACATGTTTACTCTTGACCTGACCTTTCCTTTCCTGGCTTTGTCTTTCCTTGTCTTGCCTTGCCTTAGGGTAATATATCTCACATTTTGAGGCTTCTTTTTATAACTTCTGTGTTGGCAATACAAAAACTGTGCTGACTTAGATATAGGTTTCTGGATGAGTAGCTCTTCTCAATGAATGTGTCACTTCTCATAAGAATTGTAGAAGGGAGTTGCTTTGTGGTTTGAAGACGTTTGCCAAACTTCTGAGAAAGTTCTCTGTTTAAACATAAGAGCTGGTAGGAGGAAGAGATTACAGTTTGCAGGGCAAGTGCAAAACCATGGAGCTGCTAAAAAGGCGTCATTGAAAGTTTATCTGAGGGGATGAGTGTTCAGATCTGTTAGCCATTACTGATTGCCACTCCTCAAAATACCACCCAGCTGGAGTTCTACTTACTAAAAGAGTTATACTTAATATTTCATGGAACCCAGCTCAGCTCAATCAACATTAATAATTACAAGTTTATTAAAAATCTCCAGAAGACAAAGACTTTAAACATATATATATATTTGAAATGTTTGACATTTCTATAGATAGATTTTTTTCTATTGAAAGTGGTTTTGAAATATACTATATTACATCCTTCTGCATTACTAATTTAGCACAATGGGGGGTATTTCTGGTAGTACTATTTACTAATGCTCTCCAGGTTTCTTCCCATTTCCATTCATTCCTGACTTCAAAATAAGGAACTGAGTCTCTTCAGACTGAGATCGGAATCTATACATTCAAATTAAAATCCACCCTGAAATTCAAAAGAATTCAACAGCAAGGCTTGTGTTTTGAAATAGCAGTCACTTTGTCCTTCTCCGTCCTTTGTCAATGCCTTCATAGGCACACACACATTCTTGGCCTTCTTTCTGAATCTTTCTTTCCCCTTGCCCTGCTCCCACAAGTCTTATCTTGGTGTTATCTTTGTATTATAACTGTGCTGGAATATCCCACATTAGTAAAAATAATAATTAGATATGCCATTGATCGAATAAGTTGGAAAACTGTTAATGTGTCAGGATATATGTGTTCCATCAGAACTCGGATTTTTATTTTTCTGCTCAGCTTGGCTTGCATTCAACACTCTCTGATTTTGAAAGAATAAGCAACTCGAGCATATTCCTACACTTCTGAATAAAGCCACACTGTAGACTGCAGAGAAATAAATCCAGGCAGTCATTTTTATGTCATCAAAGACCATTTTCATTCTGTGCCCACAAATGTTCTTGGTAATCTATGAAAGAGGCTTCTGAGTTAACAAGTGAGAATAGGCATCTTTCTCACCCCTTTCGTTGGCAGCAATGCATGGTTAGCATTCATCAGCAGTCACAATTGAGCCCGTGTAAAGGCTTGTGGAGAGGCAGATGTTGTTCCAATTGAGTCTTTGATTGGCCCACTTGTACTTCTGCCGTATGACACGGCCTTTAATTATACAATCAAATAACTACTTTTTCCACAGGGCATCTGCCTCACTCAGCACACAAGATGGGTAAGAGTGTTCTGGGAATTGAATTGGGTTTGGCAGGGAGGGATGCTCCTGGTTAAGGGCACCTCAGCTTAGTGAGGTGAGGATGCTACTGCAGTTTGGTGAGCTTTCTCGCTACCTGTAGTCTTTCTATTAAACCTCAATTCATTTCATATCACCAGCATCCCAGGAAGACTTTTAAAGTCCTATTAAATTTCTACCCTACCCAGCCTCCAGTGGCAAGGCTCATAGCTCGTGTCCCTCTGCTTCCCACAAGCCTGCCATGTGCTGGTTTTCTGTATAGGAAAAGCCAGTGAACAGCCAGTCCTTGTCCATTCCCACCCTATAACTCACATACGTCAGCAACAGATGCTGAGTAGAAGCCAGAGGGTGTACCCAGGGCCTTGGGAAGCTCGTGGCATGCCCAGAAGGGGCAGCCTTTGCTTCTGCTGTTACCCACGATAGCTTTGTCTGTCTGTCTGTGCCGTTGTCATAGACATACCCTGTGGTATTCCAGCTTCAGTGGCTCTTGGAAAAAAAGGCTGTGTTGATGACTGAAACAGACAATTTCAGGAAGTGTACGAGCGGTCTTTTTTTCCAAGTCGAACGCCATTGTAGAAAACTGGATTTTGTCTCTGGTGCAGCCACAGAATTTCAGTGTGATGCTGAGCTAGTCCAATAGACTCGACTTTTCCCAGATGGCCATTAATTATGTGTTTGAAATCATGGGGTTTGATTTGCAGAAGTGCTGAGCACTCACAGCTGCAGTTGACGTCATTGAGAGCTGTACTTTGTACATGCAAAGCGCTCTTTAGTGCCAAGTTCCCTGAAAAATCAGCCCCTCCACGTCTTGGATCAGTCACTCTAATTAACAGATGCTTTTGACCTGGATTTCTCTGTGTCTGTTTCTTTGTTTCTAACGAAGAACTAATACCACCTTGTGTCATTCGAGTGCTGTCCCGTTAGGATTTCTCAGTTCTTAGGCCCTACAACAGCCATCATCAACGTGCAGCCCACTACAGTAATAACTATGTAATTCAGAGAGGGTTTCCATCTTGCATGGGGTATGAGGCCAAAGTCTCAACAGTGCCCATTCTGAGCACTGATCTCATGAAAAAAAAAACCAACTGATCAAATAACAGGCGGCTACTGTTATTCACCAGAGACCAAATTCAGATTGCCCAAGTAGCTTTAGTTCTGGCATCTCCTATTTTTCCTGTATTTTGCCAACACTTATCAGGGTATTTGTTTAGACAGCATGTTTGACATTTCAGGTCAAGCTAATCTGATCTGCATTTCAGAATTCTTGTAAAGAATTGTTGTTTTCATTTTGCCCTCTAGAAAATACTTGTAACAGAAAACGTCTGGATCTTGTCTTCATCATTGACAGTTCTCGCAGCGTACGTCCTTACGACTTCGAAAAAGTGAAGGAGTTCATTTTAACCATCTTGCAGTTCCTGGACATCAGTCCTGATGCCACCCGAGTGGGCCTGATTCAGTATGGCAGCACTGTCAAACATGAGTTCTCTCTGAAGACGTTCAGGAGGAAGCAGGAGATTGAGAGAGCAGTCAGGAGAATGATGCACCTGGCGACTGGCACCATGACTGGGCTGGCTATTCAGTACGCCGTCAACATCGCGTTTTCAGAGTCTGAAGGGGCTCGACCTCTGAGCCAGAACGTGCCTCGCATTATCATGATAGTGACAGATGGGCGACCGCAAGATCCAGTGGCAGAGATTGCTGCGAAAGCTCGCAACTCAGGAATCCTGATTTTTGCCATTGGAGTGGGAAGAGTGGACATGAACACGCTGAAGTCCATTGGGAGTGAACCGCATGAAGAGCACGTATTTCTGGTTGCTAATTTCAGTCAGATTGAAACACTGACCTCCGCCTTCCAGACAAAACTTTGTGGTAAGTCCTAAATATGTAGGTTTGAATGCACAGATGAAAGTAAAACACGGAGGAAAAAAAAAAAAAGTCATGCATTGTCATTTTTTTTTCCTGTGGAACCTATTCTGTTAGAATGTATTTGCTGAAAAAAGGGAGGGTATCTAGACAACATTCAGAACAACAATCATACATATGGGGAAAAGCTAATTCTACTGCAAGTGCCATAAAATGTGATGTAATTCCTAATGGTCATAAGCAGAGAGGCAAACACACATACCATGATTTTCCTATTCGTTGCATAACAGCAGTTAGTTTACAATCCTCTGCTATTTGAGCGTTAGATAAGTTGTTTCATCTATCGATTTTAAATGTGATTTCACTTAGTATTGAAAATTCAAGCTGATAAATGTCTTTTGGTTATTTAAAAATATATATATAAATAATAATAAAAACCTGGGGAGTTCATGCTATTCCTCTTCTAGAGCTTACATATATACAAACAGTTATCTCTGAGCATGCCTTGTCACTAAAAGCGAGAGACAGAAATATGATAGCACTTGTATTCCACCCGTTTTAAATACAGAAAGTTAGGAAAAGCCTTTGTCATGATATTATTCATTCATACCATAAAGTAAATAATATTTTAATAGGTATTAATTTACAATAGAGAAATCACTTCCATCAGTAATTCCATGATACACAATTACCTTTTACAAATATTTTGGCATGTATAATTAATTTTATTCCAATCTGTGTACTTAATATAATGGCATGAAACCGAGGCATTTTCAGCAGAGTCCAGGGAAAGAATGCATGGTGAGACTGAATGCTCACTCATCTCTTATGACGCTTTTGCCAGGAAAGAACTGAGGCTTATTGTCAGGATAGGCTGGAGAATTTTCCTTACTTGGTCTTTTCCAAAACTGTTTCAAAGAGCAATAGAGCTCCAGATGAACTGCATCAGCACAGAACAACATCACAGACATTCATCAGATAATAGATTTTTTCCTGTTTCTTCCTTGCCGTGGTATTAGCTGGCATAGTAAAATACATTTAAAAACCAAGAAAGAGTAAACTAAGCATGAGAGTTTCAATGGAATGAACAGCAAATGCTACAAAACTCCGTTTTATGGGATTTTTAATAGCATTTTAGAAATGAATCCAGTACAAGTACTACTTAATCTTTGTCTGACTAGGCCGTACCCAGTAAATGTATTAAAGTTTTATAGTTCATCTGTAATCCAAATACACATGATCCTCAATAAAACCATCCCCCTGCAGATGGAGGAGTATGGAGGCGACAAGGATTGCTGCTGCCTCCTTTACTCAGTGAATGCCTCCACACCATTTGCTGTTTCAGGAGCTGAAGGTGAGATCCAAAAAAAAAAAAAAACAAACAAAAAACAACAGACAACACTTAAAAACCCAGGCCAGATTCAACACAGAACTTAATGTGCTAGCATCATGTGGATTTCATCTTAAGGAACTGAACATCAGATAGGATCCTTAATGTCTGTTTGAGCGTGGGCTGTGAAGCAGCATTCATCTGTCTAAATTTGAAGAGAGAATCTAGGCATCTCATAGCGTGGAGCACCTAGGTTTCTCCTGGGAAATGGGGTTAGCTTTTAAAAGTTCTCCCTAGAGGGGTTATCATTGTAGCTGAGTCAAACCTCTGGATGCTTTGCTTCTTTCCTAGAGCCATCAAGGCACCCCTCTCTGGTCAAGTCTCCTGGCACGCAGTCTCCTAGGCTTCGTGCCTTGGGAAGAGAACTTGACTCCTGATTAGTCTTTGGGTCTAGATCACCCTTGTGTCTGTGGGAATGTGCCTTCATGGTTCCCATGAAGATAAGAGAAGAATTTGTCCAAGTGATGAAGCTCAGTGGACAAAATAAAAAGTAAACTGAATTAACCACTGTTTCCCCATGGATAGCAAAGATGTCCCAGACCTTAGCAATCAAATTCTTAGAAGAATCCATTTCAGCTGACTGGGTTTCATGCCCTGCTAAGTCAGACTGCAGTTGCTGCCTCTGGCTCCTAAAGATTCAGTGGTGTCAGACACAGCAGTTGAGGCCTGGGGCCCAGGGGCCTCTTTTTATTACCTTGCAGGAAGGTAAAGGAGAAGGAAGCAGTATCTTGGGAAATCAGAGGCATGGGGAATGAGACAAAAGATGGAAACTCAGAAGGGAAACAGAAGAGGGGACAGAATCCAGGAACGGAGATGGAGAATGAATAAGAGAAGAGTGAGAAAGAGACAGAAGTCAGGCTGGAGCCATCAGGAGCAAACAGTCCTTATTGTTCTCCTGAAAAGCAGATAGTGTTGTTATCCCCATTTGACACTGGAGGAATGGAGGCACAGAAACATGGCTAAAACTGTCAGGATCATCCACTGACTTTAAATCTTTGACTTAGTACATTCAATGGTCTGATTTTCTGCAGCATTTAGCATTTTAACATAATGGGATATATGCTTCGGATATACCCTTCACTCACAGCTGAGAGAGGCCCCAGCAGCTCTGTTTTTACACGGATACTTGAGGAGTTTTTACTTGAGGAGTTTTGTTATGGCAGGATATGAAGAATTCAAAAAAGCTGTTTGGGAGGTTTGGCAATTGTGGTGGTTTGTTTATTAGTAATAAATGTATAACTCTGCCAACCATTCTAAAGAGTGGATACATAGTATGTATCTCAAAAAACACTTTTTTTTTTTTTCATATGTTCCACACGTACCACGTGTTATTTTTTAGGCTTCTGCTGTAGCTGCTATATTGCCATTGAATATCTATTCCATAAATTTTGATGTTTGTCAACCTAGCACAATAAGGAGCACATCAATCCCTGTTATTGAGCAGAATATATTATTTTCCTCACGTTGTTCTCTGAGAAGTAATTCACCTGCTCATTATAGGAATGACATACGAGCAGTGCTCTAGTGGAAGGAAAACAGCAATGAGATTTAGTAATTCCCCAAGAAGTGCTGATATGGGGGAAAATAGTTAAGTAATGAATTTGACAGAATAAGCTCGCTATTCTTTTTATTTTTTCTTCTTCTTCCTAAGTCTGTTGCATTTTATTACTTGCTATTAGAGACATAACATACAAACAGATAAAAAAAAAAAATAGAGTCAGGAAGAGTTATACTCTAGCATGTAGCTCAGCTCAGCTCCTCCTTACTGAGTCTTGGAGATGCTTTACCTCGTCATAGTCATACATTGCCCATATGCTCCTCAAAATTAATAACTAAGCAAGCAAGATTCTTCATTAAGCTGTTTTCCAGTCATTATTCTTTAGTATTGTGCTGTGGGGTTATTTTCTTAATTCAGGAAATTAAATGTTCTCTAGAACAGTTTGTACTTAAATTACAGTTATTTTCTAAATTTGAATGTGGTAGGTTTGTTTCATTGTTTTCAGGGAACCACCAAGTAATCAGTGTTTCCAGATACTGTTTTGTAACTTTTTTGTTTGTTTATATCTCCATTCCACATGTAATTTCATGTCCAAAAACATGCCACCAACATCAGCTAGACAGCTAATATATAAATTCCTATTTTTATTAGGACTAGACATATAGTACTATTTGGCAAACCTACACTCAAATGTAAGCTTAAGCCTCCATTTTTGTGTTGACTGTTGAAATTTAATTCGAAATTTTTAAGTAGCTTTTGAAACCATATATTATTTAGTTGTGACAAGCAATTAATAACCTCTTACTTCTTTCTTTCAGTTCCCCATATGTGCAGTATAGTTGAGCATCGCTGTGATCACTTCTGCATAAACACCCCCGGCTCCTATGAATGCAGATGTAAACAAGGATACATCCTGAATGCTGACCAGAAAACTTGCAGCAGTATGTTCTCTTTTTAACTTTTCTCTTTCATGCTCCCAAAAAGCACTTAACATTCCATGCTCTTTGAGCTGTGCTCATAAAAAAGGACTGAGCTCAGTATGTAATTAATGCTAATCATGGCAAAGAGTCTAAAAATGTGAAGTTGTACTTTTTTTTTTTTTTTTTTGGTAAATGAAATTTTCATAAGCCTTTATGAAATACAAGCTAATTTTTATACATGACTCTGCAGTAGTAAACTGTAACTACATGAAGTTGCTTTTGAAATTTATTGGTGCAATAAGGTCAAGAATGAAACAGCCAAAGAAAGAAGTTTCATCATCCCACATAAGTGAGTCAAACTAATTTAGTAACCTGTCTAGATAGCAACCAATACTGAGTGGTACAGAAAGGTGGAATAAACCCCATCCTAGAGAACTGGGAAATAACTTGACATTCTGGAAAATTCTTCCTAACTTCTGCTTGAAGTCTAGCCTTAAGACCTTTAAAAAAAGTTTCAAAAGTCTTGCTTATGCTCTCATTTCCTTCTTTAAAAAGATCAAGTTTTTTCGAGTTTAAGTAATTGGCTTTAACTATAGTTTATAGTAACAAACTGTACTTCAGTTTAATTCTGATCTTTGTAAGCAGTATTTCTTTTCTCCATTTTGACTTGCTTCCTAGTAATTAACAGCAGACTACATAAGATGGGTGTGCCAAATTTATTTCTGTACGCACCATTATTTTAAAGCAATTGTGGGATACTGTGTTTTACCACTTGGGGAAAATACACTTGCTAAAAATGCAGTTTCTTACCCCACAACACTCCATGGATTCAAGCCAAATTTGCCAAACTGATTTTAGCCAGAAGAATAATTTTGGAAAATGGTTTTTTTCAAAAAGCTGAAGGAAACTGTCATGGTAAGAGCATCGTGTGTCTCCATCATAATAGATAATTCAGAAGTGAGGTGAAGGGTGCAGGCTCAAATCCTGTTCTTGTGTTTGGAACTCACATGTTCAGCATCTTAAATAATCAGCTAGTTTGTGATTATTTTTTTTTCTTTTTTTTTTTTTCCTCCCTTGTTTAGTGTTGTATTTTACATCAAATACTTAATGACAACTGAAACAATGGGAGTATGTCAGTATCTGGGAGGACTCTGCTGCTTGAAGATTAGAGTCCTTACTTCTGCAACAGGACACAGTTTCAGCCAGAGCCTTGGCAAATAGAAATGAGGACAAAAGGATGTCAGCACTGGAGTGATGTGGGCATTTTTGTCAGTGTGTGGGAGTGTGTTCAGACCCCTTGAGCCCAATAGGAAACTGCTTTTGAATTGTTCACCTCCCATGCTGTTGAGTTATGGGATGAGCTAGATTTAAAAATCTTTGTTTTCATTGCCTTTCGCACCAGCATCCCTTTGTCATATGCATGTGAATTATAGAGGAATGTTTAGTATTAAATTTAACACTTTATTCCAGTTTTTGTTTTTTCCTCAAGAAGAAAAAAAAACACAATCTGAAATGTATTCTAATTATTTATTACTTGGCTTAGCAGCTAAGCCAAGGCAAGAACAGTGACAAGAACAACTCTTAACACAGCCTATTCTCTATGCTTCTGCACATTTCTTGTAGCTCTCCCAAAAAAAGGGTGGTCAGAATCCCAAATGAGGCCTCCAACTGTAATCACATTTCAGTAATATTCCCTAACCTCTTCTTTCCATTATTTCCCTTTTGAAATTATTCTCATTTTAAACTTTTGTATCCTGTAAACCTTTCTTTTAAACCTTCCTCCTGCCTTTGATTTTCTTGTACCAAAGAATTTTTAAGGAAAAATTCTTCTGCTTTCAATTTTCTTAAATTTATTTTAAATACAAATTTTCTCTTTTTCTGAATTTTCGCTTATTTCATTTTTCCCATCCTCACCCCTAACATCACTTTGGACAATTGAATTTCAAGAATAATACTGGGGAAAAAAAAAAATCAATTAGATTTAACTAATGGAGAAAAATTGTGAGAATTTTAATTGTAAATATGAAAAAATGTTTCTTTATTGTGTCTTCTGGTTTGTTGTGTTATATTTCCATAGTTTTTATCAGCCAGTAGTTTAGCTTTTTGTTCACTGCACTGCTTCATGTTACAGATTAATTTCCAAGACAGTTTTGGAATTGTGCGTGGTTTTCCTACTGGTGACCCATGCACAGTAGCCCTTGAAGTGTTACTTTGTGCGGTTTTTCAAATTCTACTGTTTCATTACTCTACTTTTTTTTTTTTTAAGTTACAACTCAGTCTTACATTAGTTTTCTCTGGCTACCTATCACACATGATAGGATAAGGTATCCTATCATGTATGGTAGGATATCACGTACTTGTTCTGAGTAGGTTTGAGTTTCCTAAATGTAGAAAGGATGAGTCATTCAATGTGTTTGTAGCCTACTTCTAATGGATATTTTTCCATGTCACCAAACTGTAAGCTAATTTTAGCAATAGTACTGGAAATCTAATATTGAGAGCCATCAAACTGACCATAAATGTTCTAGGATGCTGCAGATCATTGGTAAAGGAGGGAGATGATGTGGTAGCAGTCTACCAAGGTCAGACCATTATTTCTGAAAAGTCCCCAGAGAGGTAACAGCATTCATGAGCAAAGGGGAATGAAGCTGGACAAACTGGACAGCTTATTTCTAGAGGGAAGCTGGAGAATGCTGATAGAAAAACTCCCAGTCTGTGACCATTTTAGTGACTTTCATTGGCTGCATTGGATTTTTTACCCATGCAAAGAGGCAGCATGTTCCTCACTGGACCTCTAAGTAAAATAAATCTTCATTATGTTTATGTTTAGTGCAGTACATGGTCAACATACAACAGATGTATTTATCTAACTTCTGGATGCACTTGTCAACTTGTTCATGAACAAATAGTTTCCTTACATATACATGTTATCACTTGCTAAATTAAGCAGTACATAAAAGATGAATGTTATGGCACTAAAGATATACTCCTTTCATTTTTCTGAACCTTTTTTTTTTTTTAATGTTGTGAAAGTACAGCATATCAGTATTCAGTTCTTAAAAGCCCTTAACCAAATGGCTTAAATCAGCAATGAATTAGCAAGTTTGCTTCAGGCTGGAAAAGGGTGCATTTGTCTTTTGAATGGATGGTAGTTTTGTTCCATAATGCATTTCAGTGTTGCACTGAAGGAGAAAAAAAAATGATATCTTGGTGATTTGTTGCCTTCCACATGAAAATCAAAATAAATAAATAAATAAATAAATATATGAAGCAACTCAACCATCTTCCAAAACAAAGCCAGGAAAAAAGTATTCCTTTGTTCAACTTAAAATAGGCTTTATTTATGTCATTTAGCTGGCTTTGCATCCATGCAAAGGATGGAAATCATTAACGTGGCTTTATATCCATGCAAAGGATGAAAACCTACTATTGCTCCTTTTACCACTCTCATCTAAATTGTCTAGAGAAGAGTGGTTGTGTCAGATAATGGCTGTTCTTTACTCATTACACTGTTTGTGTTATTTAATCTCTTTCATTCTTCTCTAGATATACTCAAATCTTATACTAGTACACAAAGTAGTACAAAAGAGCAAATGTGGCTGAAAAAATTATTGGTAGAGTTTATCTTGGAACAAGAAAGTTAAACGACTGTTTATGCTGTTCATCATGCCGCATGATATGAAGCAGAGCACTATAAAAGAAATTTCATATTTGCTTGGCTAGTTTCCTTAAATGTGTTCCAAAAGCCTTTTTTTGCAGCTGTAAATGATAATTATGTGTTGAGCAGTCTCCGGGCCTGATCCTGAACAACTCAAAGTACTCTGTTTTTCAGAGGTTTCACTGACGAAATTTGGGGTTCTCAGAAAGCTTCAGTCTATTGTTAAGAAAGCCAAATGTGCTTCGTTAGACCAGGAACTGAACTGACCTCATTTGCTGTAGAAATTTTTCCCAAGAGATTTTTTGCTTGGGAGGGGTAACTTGCTATGGTATGTTGCACAAAACTGAAAAATGATAAAACTCGGAAATGAAAGGCTTTTGGTGCCCTGTTTTCCTTTTCTTTCCCTTTCTATCCTCATCATAATTTATTAGGGTTGACTGTACACAAATTAAAAAAAAAAAAAAAAAAAAAGAAAAAAAAAGAAGTACACCCATTAAATTTTTCAGATAAATATTCAGTCAAGCAAATCCACTAGGCACTGGTGTCCCAGTAACTGTTGTTGCTTTCAGCTGAAGGAGTGAACTCCTCAGATTTGAGTTGTTGTTGCTGTTATAAAAGTTTCACTATGTGATAGAATATCAGCACGTTCTGTGTTAAAATGAGCTCAACTCTAAAGAGCTGTTCATAGATTCCTGAAATTTATTTCCAATATGTAGTCTACCTGTACAGTATAGAAGGGCAAAGAACTTCATATCCGCGCAATTATGTCTTGTAGCTCAGGACCTTTGTGCTGTGGAGAAACATGCCTGTGAGCAGATTTGTGTGAACACGCCTGGGTCTTACGTCTGTCAGTGTTACGAAGGGTATGAACTTGATGCAAATGGAAAGAACTGCATTGGTGAGTATGAGTTTAGCATTTGACACAAACCAAAGGAAAATTAAATGTAAATTAATGTCCAGTTTGGCCATAAACAACAATGGGAAAGCTGTCTTCTTCTACATGAGGGGTAGGAAAAATACATATTGGCATGTATGTAGGCCTTTATTCATAAAAATGGTGACTGGGAAAAATTGTTCCAACTAATTTCACACAGAAAAATAACATCGCTATCTTGAAACTAAGCATCTAGTGTTTTATTTTAGATCCATGCAGGTGGCCAGCATGGTACTGGCATGTTATATATGGCCATTCAAAAACAAACAAAAGCAGACAAACTTGGTAGTTCCTTTTCAGACAGAAATTAGACAAAGAAAACATGGGAGTGGACAATTTATTACAATTTCTCACTTGGTTTTGTGGTTATGCCAAGAGAATTTTCAAACTCTTTGAAAAGATGGCTTTAAGGAATGGTTGGTCCCCATTAAAAGAACCCACCCAATATGTGTCTTTAACTTTTACTATGGGTAGTACAGAAGCAAACATCAGGTCTAAGACAGCTCAAAACTGCAAGCATGGAAACACAGTACAACAATTTTTGGACAAAAACATACTTCCCTTTCTATTAGCATATAAGTATCTCACTTTTTACTTCTTCTCCATTTATACACAGTAAATATTTTTAAGATGATTCTGGTTCATTAGGCTATTGCCCTTCTTATAAATGTTTAATCCCATACTACATTTCAGGAAAATGTTGTCTTCTGGAATTCACCACAAACATAATATAACCTGTCTCTTATTACCTTCACAGTTATTATATTGCAGAATAATCCTATTTTGAGGTGCAAAATAGATGACAGTTTATGGAACTGAGCATTCTGCTTATAGTTTCTCATGGGACACACAAATGAGGTTTTGAGTTTTTTTAGACTTGGAATAATAAATGCATTTTTAAAGAACAGTGACACTGTACTTCTCTCCAGAAATGTTTACCATACATGTAGCCTCTTGATCCTCATAGGAGTGTCTACAATCCTTAACGTAATTTAGGATCAGCATAATTTGGGCACTAACATATCCCTTTAAGAACCTGCTTTCCGAAATTGAATTGTTTTGAAAATGTAGCTAAAGATGGTTACTTAAGCAAGAAGGCGTTTTAGATGATATAGCCCAAATTTCTACATCTAACACTCCACAGAATTTCATCCAGTAACCTTAACCTAATCCTCATGACCTTCACAGTCAGACTTTTCTCTGCTATTGATATGGTTGTATCCAGAAAGAGAAAATCCATGACTTCTCTTAGCAGGTTTTTGCATCCCTAATTCTTTTTTACCATATATTTAATCTGAGATATTCATACCTAGTGTCATCAGCTGTTACTGCTGTTTTGTTACATTCTCCTCCTCATTTCTGAAGGGCTAATTTCTCTAGTTAAGAATCAAAGGCAATGCTAATTGCTTTATTGACACACCTGTCAGCCGGTTACCTGGATGGCAATAATTAAATAAAAGCTCACAACCAGCAGCTTACAATGCATTAATTTAACGTGACTATTGAATAGTGAAGTAGCCTGAGTGTTTGCAACACACTGGTTATGAACAGATTTTCAGATTAAACAATACTTGAAGCTATCTATACAGTGATAATTATGAGCGCTACCATTTTGCCTTTTTAAACAGCTTTTCATGTTAACTGTCTGCCTTTCATATGAACAAAATCCTGCCAGTTATAAGTTTGGTGGCATTGAGCCCTTCTTTCAACATTATGCTGCCAAACACACAGCCCTCTCAATCTTGGTCCCGCTCTCCCCATCTTCTTGGTGTTGCTGGCCATGGTGCCTTCTCTTCCCTGGCACTGGTGCTGAGCTGCCTCCATACTGCTGCAGCTGTTGGGTGTGGGCTCTTTTCTCCTGGCAGTGATTTGGCTGCTGGCACCTGTCTGCAATCCTGGTACTGCTGCATTTTTTGGCTGTTTTCTGCTTTTTAACAAGTCTTCCATAAAACTTCTCTTCTCCTACCCCACACTGTTTTTCATTCTCCTTATGCCTTTACTTATTCTGCCACGTTTTCTTCCTAGGCTTTCTTCTACCCTTCTCCTTAATTTAATCATTTCTCCTAAAAAAAATGAAAAAATATATAAATATCGTAGTAGTAAACCAGCAATATTAGAGAAAGGTAACCTGCGCTGCTTACAGATCTGAGAGGGAAACATGAGCACCTAGGGTGTGAAACTGGTACATAGATGTAAAAGATACCTCTCATCACTTAGCAACTAATTCCAAGGAAGAAAAACATGGTGGAACAAACAGGGAGATGACAACTGAATTCATTGCTTGCTTGCTTAAAAATATCATTAATTCAGAATTAATTAGAAGAGTTTCATATTGAAATAGGCATGGGCTAAAATTTAAAGTTCACATTCTGGTGTCTATCCCATGACTCTTGTGACAATAAGGAAGTATAAAAATAATAAAACTTAACATAAATGAAGAAAATATTATTTTGCTTTGGTCTTATACAGATGTTATGTATTTTCTGCAGGATTGCAGTGTTTCAGTATAAGAAATGTAGATTTATCATTCTTTTCAGTCGTTTCAGGAAGATTTAAGTCCTCCAGCAACTTACTTGCTGATTGACATGCTGTTGACAACTTTCCCATCTAAGAAAGTACCACCAAAATGAAACGTGAAGCTGAAAGTGAAATTAAATTGTAGGTAGATTACTAATGCCAGTCTGCAAGGATAAGCCTGCATGGAATAAGGGACTGGGGGAGGGAGTGGAAATAAATAATACATATCTCCAAAAGCAACTGTCAAGAGAATATTCTGACTTCCTAACTGTCAGTGGAAAAGCGCTATTTAAATTGATATGCTCATTATTGGTAGAGGGCAACAGACCTACTTCTATGAGTAAGAGGTTCCCAGAATTAATATATGTGAAGCAAAGCAAGCCTGGTAAAATCAGTGTCTTGTATGAATTATTTATTTTGAGGTGTTTCTTTTTTTTTTTTTTCCCTTTTGTGCCCACAGTACATTACCAGCTGCACAGGCCTAAGAAGGCACAGTCCTTCCCCAGAAGAGATTGTCATCTGAAAGTGCTTGGGGTGATAGTTACTCAGATGTTGATAGTAAAGCATTCTAAGACCTGTCGAACCATTCAGTTGTCTCTCAACTTCATAATAATTAGTTGGGCAGTTACAGATGTTGTGGTAGAAGTGCATGTTCATTAGGGTTTAAATGTAGAGAAGGTGACTTTATGGAGGGATTTAAATAGGCTGTTTCCCAGGTATGATGCTGTATAGAAAGAAATTGTATATTCTTTGACTTATTTATTACGGTGTATTTAAAAACACTTGAAAATGTGCATGTGGTTAGAACTAATTTAAGGGGAAAGCTGACTAATTATATGACACATTATATCCTTGAAAAATATATTCAGCAAATACATTTTTATATGAAGCTATTCAGTGTGGAAACAGGAAAGTACTTGCCAGGAAAATGGTCTCACATGGTAGACAGTAAGTAATCTAATTTGACTTCATTCAACACATTTATTCCTAAGAATAAATCTTTCTAAAAAAGCTCTTTCAAGGTCACTAAATGGATTATCGGCTTCCCTGACCAGACTTTGACTAAATAGCTTAGCACACCTGAGTGTGCATTATTTGCAAAGGGAAGGCTATTAAAGAAAAAAAAAATGTTTTAATTAAAACAAACTTACAACCTCTTAAAAACAGTTTGGGAGTATCCACAATATAGAGCAATAAAAAAAAAATAGTTGGCAAAGATGGGGAAGCTGTCTCATTAAATGTCTGTAAAGCTGGGCACATTGCTGTCTTCTGCAGAATGAATTAGGTAAACTTGTCTAATGTGGGCCTGGAAGCTTTTGGGGGTTAGAACACCTGCCTTGTGACTTGTCTTTGATTTCTTCTAGGGCTTTCTGTGTAAAGAAACAGATCAAACTGCAAAGAAATAAAATGATATAATTTATTTCACTCCTTTAGCACTTGTAAATGGGCTTGTCTCAGTAAACTCTGAAGTGTAATATTATTACCTTTTTGGTAATCTATCTTGCAAATACGGATTTGTGTAATAGGTGACCAGACTTATGAAATACGTGACTAGACTAACTATGATGTTTGATTTCTCTCACACAAAAGGCATTATATAAGCAAAATATCAGTGGTGAAAATCAGCTGAAGCTGTCAGATTTCATAGCTGCACTTGATTTCTACAGGATGATTCTGGAGCAAGGTAGAGGGGATAAATGTACCATGACAGCCTTCAGTGTAGGAGGTATTGCCATAGGTTTCCTATGCATTTGGGCTACTGGAACAAGTAATGATAACTCATACAGCTGAGGGAATTAAGGAAAAGCAGAACAGTTCCAGGACTGGACTGGGAGAGACAGAAGACAAAACTAAATCAAATAAATTTTGATTTGCCCTGGTCTCTGAACAGAGTTGCTGACTGAGTCATGGTTTCTGGATCGGAGAAAACACATTCAGAAGGTTCCTGACAATAAGGGAGTTGATAAATGTTCACAGGGTAGGAGAAACAATCCGGGACTCAAATGAATCTGATGTACCAACTAGTAATTACACTGCTTTTTGCAGAAAGGTTCTTCAGGAGAAAAATTATGTCAGCTTTCCCTTTTTTTCTTGTAACTACTGTGTGTAATCTCTATGTGTAATAGTTCTAATTTTGTTTTTCTGATTATATATGTTGCTCTTGTTCTTTTGCAGTTGTAGACTACTGTGCTGTGGATAACCAGGGTTGCCAACATGAATGTGTTAACACTGAGGACTCCTATTACTGTAGATGCTACCCAGGGTTCATTTTAAATCCAGACAAAAGAACTTGCAGAAGTAAGTAGCGATAAGCTTTAATTATGCACAGTATGTACTCTTTCTGTCCAGTTCTCAGCAGTAATTCTCCCACTGTGCCTGGGAACACTGAATAATATGTTAGGTATAGAAAATGTTGGAGTGCCCTTGAATCCAAAGGTCATAAAAGCAATGAGAGTTGTTTTTGGAGGTAGTTTGGATTTTAGGGAGAGAGAAAGTAGGTAGAAGGGCCCCTTCTATAAACAGGAAGCATTTAACATGAGACCAGGCTCCTTTTTCAATAGTAAAAGCCAAAAGCTTTGTCTTGCATATTCTCTTTAATTATCCAGATATTTCATTTAGAATATCATCCCCCTAGCTGGATAAACAAATTGGTTTGTACATGACAATTTATAATCATCTTGGTTTGTAAGACAACCTGAAATTAAACAGAGTGAGTAGTTCCACAATCAGAGGAAACACTGCAGCCTATTTTGCTATGGATTTTCCTCAATAGAGAGTTCTTTGATACTTGTGCCAAAGCTCTGGGAAGATCAGTAGCCTCTATAAAGTTTCGATGTTTCCACCAGCTTATAATAACTTCAGAGGTTTCCTTGTTTGTCAAACTTGATTGACACTGAACTAACAAGTTCAAAAGTTACCAGAGCTGGGGGGGATATAAAGCGGAAGAGAACTAACAGACCAGAAAATACTCTTGCTAAAGCTTCCCTTAATTGGGAAAATAAGCTAAAACCTCTGTAGTATGTAATGTCATAACTCACTTCAGGAAATGTGAAGGGAAAACTTTAATGTATGCTCCTGGTTACCTTCTTTCATAAATGCAGACCTTGGTAATGAAACTTTAGTGTTACAGCTGTAAGCAGACAAAACTCTTTAGTTTTTAGGTGAGTGAAACTGCTGATGCCATTGATGAATATAGTCCATATTGTCTAATAAAGTGAACAAACATTATTTCTGTAGCACTGCATTTCTGTGTTTTTTAAAGGCTTGGGGGCATTTCAACATTTATTGAAAGAGATGAAGTTAACCTATTGACTACAGTGCATATTATGCTTGTTATGTCACTTAATTTTAACATTTAGAAAGAAAGCATCTAATTCAGACTGCACATCTGACCTTATGATCCAGGGAAAGAGACATACCCCCAAGCAGTTCTTCTTGCTGAACTTCAGAAGACTTCCGTTTGTCCAGTTGTGAAGTTTATCAAGGTTCCTCTTTACTGCTGTTTACTTTCAGACAATGTCCCTAATTTAACGTTACCCACAGACTTGCTGAAAGTATACGGATGGAGTATTGCAATGGATGGCTACAAACCATTCAGAAAGCATAGGCTAGGAAGGAGAGGCAGGAGGCTAGCCCTCTATGTTAAGGGAGTGTTTTGATTGTCTACAGCTGAAAAATGGTAATGACAGGGTTGAGTGTTAATGGGTAAGAATCAAAGGGAAGGCCAATGAGCCAGATGTCATAGTGGGAGTCTGCTCTAAACTGTCCAACCAAGCTGAAGAGGCAGACACAATGTTCTATAAGCAACTGGGAGGATTCTCTTAGTTGCTAGTGCTTGTTACTGTGGGGAGCTTCAACTTATCGGAAGTCTTCTTGAAATCCAAGGCAGCAGAGAGGAAGCAGTCTTAAGAGTGTGTGGAAGATAACTTCCTGACATGGTTGGCAGTGAGCCAACAAGCACCCCGCTGGATCTTTTGCTTGTTAACCGAGAAGGACTTGTTGGTGATGTGAAGGTTGGAGGCCATCCTGAGCTTATATCCAAGATGATCATGAATTAGTAGAGTTTTCAATTCTTGCAAAAGTAAGGAAGAAGGTTATCAGAACTGCCACCCTGGGCTTCCAGAAGGCAGACTTTGGCCTTTTAAGGCAGTCCTGAAGGGCAAAGGAGTCCAAGAAGGCTGGACACTCTTCAAGAAGGTAATGTTGAAAGCACAGGAGCAGGCTGTCCCCACATGCTGAAAGATGTGCTGGTACAGAAGAAAATTTTCTGGCCGAAGAGAGCTGTGGCTAGAGCTCAGGAAGAAAAAGAGGGTTTATGACCTTTGGAAGAAGGGGCGGGCCACTCAGGAGGACTACAACGATATCATGAGGCTGTGCAGGGAGAAAACTAGAAGAGCCAAAGCCCAGTTTGAGCTCAGTCTGGCTACTGCTGTTAAAGACAATAAAAACGTTGTTATAAACATATAAATAAGAAAAGGGAGGACTCAGAAGAATCTCCATTCTTTATTGGGTATGGAAGGTGAAACATAGTGACAAGAGATGTGGAAAAGGCTGAGGTACTTAATGCCTTCTTCTGCGAGACCAGTTGTTCTCTGGGTACCCAGTTCCCTGAGCTAGTAGGTAGGGACAGGGAGCAGAATGAAGTTCTCATCATCCAGGAAGAAATTGTTAGTAACCTGCTGAACCATGTAGACATAGACAAGTCAATGGGACCAGATGGGATCCACCCGAGGGTACGGCGGGAGCTGGTGGGAGTGCTCACCAAGCTGCTTTCCATCATTTATCAGCAGTCCTGGATATCAGGGGAGGTCCCAGTCAACTGGGGGCTAGCAAATGTAATGTCCATCTACAAAAAGGGTTGGAAGGAGGATCCAGGAAAATACAGGCCTGTCAGTCTACCCCTGGTGGCAGAGAAGCTCCTGGAGCAGATTATCCTGAATGCCATCACAGCACTACCAGGGCAACTAGGAGATCAGGGCCAGTCAGCGTGGGTCTATCAAAGGCAGGTCCTGCTTAACAAATCTGATCTCTCTCTACAGCAATGTGACATGCTCAGCGGATGAGGGAAAAGCTGTGGTCTTTCTGGCTGGATTTCAGTAAGGCTAGATTTCAGTAAGGCTTTTGATACCATTTTCTACAGCTCAAACACTTGCTAAGCCACTTTACCTTACACTTGACATCTTCTGAGCCTTGCTAATAAAATAAATCATAAAGAAAAGAACAGGGCAGATTTTGATGCTAACGAAGTTGAGACATGAGAGCTCTTCAGAGCAAAAGTGTGTTCTTGTTCCCATATGTTATGAATCACACTGCCTTTGAGTTCACATAAACAACATGAAGGAACAAACTTCAGAACATGGGATTTAAAATGTTTGTAAATTAAAACTTTTAGCATACATTTCTACATGTTTGGCTTATGTACTGAATCTCAGTGACAGTTGCCAGCTAGCCAAGACTCACACCCATGCCAGACCAGATCACTGTATCAGTAAGCAGGCCTGGGCCAAGGGCTCCAGTTTCCAAGATCTTGTGATTATCAAAGAACTGTGGCTTTCTGCTCAAGAACAGAAAGTAAGCTTCAATGCTCAAGGCTATAAATAAGAAAAAAAAAAAAAGGTTTGAAAATGTAAATGTTATCAGTACAGTCTTACATGTCTTACATGTAAGACAGTTTTGCATGTCTTACAAATTTTCTCTGGGAATTACTCCAAATTTCTCAGAATGAAATAAAAGGAAAATGGCTCATTAGGGGAATCCTGCCAACACCAGCAGAGTTCTCTACGTGTGGCAGAAAGAGAAGAGGGCAGTAAATTTAGATCGTCAGTGAGGAAGGTAGAGGTAATTCCCAGATGCTGAGTTAACTGTTAAGAGGACTTTTGCCCCTATTGCAGCTTGGTCTATTATTAGTGAAGGTTTTCATCACATATAAAGGCCCGATTGCATTAGGTTACCACATATACTAGAAAAGAACAGTTCCTGTTTCAGGAAGTTAATTATCTCTTGCAATAATAATTAACCACTGAATTTTGGTTTTCAGGTTGTTTAATGAAGTGTTCAAAAGTGCCGGATGTTATTAAAAATGTAGCTTATTTGATTTCTGACGCATCTATCTATTTTTAGCGGTGACGAAGGATTAAGACTGTTCTTTCCCTACAATAAATTAGTTAAGTCCACTAGTATAAAGCTAAGTGATGGCCAGGACGGATCGCATCTAAGTGAATGTCAGGTTCTTTGACTTAATTCATAGTGGTTAGCGCTACAGGGTAAATATCCCAGTGCTTACTGCAGAATTACTTTCCCTTCTAAGGTACTTTGTACAAAAGTAACAGCTGTTTCTAGAGTTTGCTCATCTTTCCTTTGATGAGCATTTTAAATGGAAGAGCCATGTAGCAAGCGCTCAAGGCTTTTAAAAACACTGATGCTCTTGATGACCTGGTTGTCCCGCTTTGATCTAATGAATAGCATTCAGAAGCTTGGTTGTGTTTTTATTACAGATCATATCAAACTTGCTCTGAGTAAAATAAATAGGCAATTTTGGTGCGGCAGTGTATAGCTGTGAAATGTTGAGAAATATTTAAGGTTCTAACTTCTGTACTGCACGTAGTACATGTCTTCTCCAAGAATTCATTAAGAATACATATCAGGTCTACCTTAGTATAACAGATTATTTGTCAGAAAGGTAAATCTTATTTTCACAGTTTGAAACAATATGGTAAAAGTTCTAAATGGTACACAAGGAAAAAAAAATAAAGAAAGAAAATGACATAATTTTTTTTTTCTAGCTTATATCTGAGGAATTATATTTCTCACTGACGCAATTTTTTCCATTTAGGACCAGACTATTGTGCTCTTCAGGACCATGGCTGTGAACAGGAATGTGTTAATACAGATGATTCCTATTTTTGTCAATGCCAAGAAGGGTTTAGACTTAATCCAGATAAGAAAACATGCAAAAGTGAGTAATCCTTTGGACATAATGAAGTTCATCTGCTTTTATTTCTTAAACCAGCTGTGAATGATTTCCTTTCTGAAAGGATGAAAGTTTTCTCTATTATAAAGGTTGAAACAAATCTTTCTTTATAAACTTGAATTTTAACTGACACTGTCATACTGGAAAAATATATAGTTTGCTGTTTCATAGACTAGCTTGTATATTACGCATTTTTAAGAGATTCGGGAAAACTTAAGGCATAATACAGAAACCACAGTGGCTTAAAACCAAAAAGTTTGTTTCTTATTTTATGACTTTCTGACATTGTCCTTTAGTTGCACATTTTTTTTTTCTTTTTTAATTTTTACCTTGCTTTGCTGCTAAAGTTGCATTAGCCAAGGACAGATGTATTTCATTAGCTTTGAGAAAGTAATGGATTGGTAATGTAGTTATGAGAAGCAACTTAAAATCACACATGAAACCCATACAGTTTCCTTCAAACTGTATCAACAGCCTCAGCAATGTTAGGGTTCCAAACCAGTTGTACCTATTATTTCCTTCACAAAGCCTTTTGTGTTACAGCTCTTCCTGAGTTGGGGTCCAGAAACTCAGCAAATTTTCAGTGTAATTCTGTTAATAAAGAACTATCTTGACATGGTGACTCAGTTCTAGTGGGGGAGGAGTTGTGCTGATACTTTATGAGTAGGAATATTGATTAAAGCAACATAATTATATTTCTAGACCCTCATAAAATTTATCTGTTTTTACAACTATGTCTTCTTTCAGTCTTAAAGATGTTTTCTCATCAAGCATCATTATGTACACAGTGCTGCTTTTACAGCAATCCATACTACCCTGGCTTTTATTATCTGTATCATACTTTAATACATTCAGGGTTTTATAGAATGGATGTACCTTGGTGAGCATAGAAGTAAAAGAACTATATTGCCTGGAATACTTATTGCCAAGGATTTAATTAAGAATTAAAGACAAATCCATAACTCTCATTTCGGATACTTTTCCTTAACCTTAGGGGACTCTGGATTTGGCTGTAAATCTGGTGACATTTTCAGGATTGAAGCTCCCATTCCAAAACTTGTTATATCTCATGTGAGATAAACTTGTAAAGTAAAGTAGAACATTTGCATATATGCCCTCTTTATAAATCAGGAAGAATACTGGTGACCAGCGCCAGGCATTCCTCCTCCACCATGGACCATGATTCGTAAATTGTAATGACTACAGGAGTGGGGGTATGGAGTCAAAGTGCAGACTTGCTAGCCAAGTATTTGCAGTCAACTCACAGATCCACGGCTCACTATCAGATGTGCAGTTTCAAAAGCTGTCCAAAGCATAGAATCTGGTACCATTTAACAAAAGTGAGTTTTTCTAAGCTGTTTGACTTCAGAAACCCTCACGACTGGCTTGAATTCTTTAGTGTTTTTCTCTCTACAGAAGTAAACTTCTGTGCTTTTGGTCAGCATGACTGTGAACATGAATGCGTTAATATGGAAGAGTCACTTGTGTGCAAATGTCATCCTGGATACACCCTACAACATGATGGCAATACGTGCAGAAATTAGTATCTCATGAACAGCAGCAACTAGTTACTGCAGTGGGGTGAGGTGTGAACAGAATGAGAAAATGCTCCTGAGTCCCTTCTGAGATCTTTTTGAGCTATGCAAACCTATGTTTCTGTAAAGTCAACCCCAAGCCAGCCCTAGTGAAGTCATGCTATAGCAAGATCCCAGATTGAATATGGAACTAAAGCATCATCTTCTCCAATACAAATAACTGGGAAAAGGTGTTCAGCCATGGTGTCAAACACAACTGGCAGAGCTTACTCTGGAACATCTGTATCATTACTATGTGCTATTTAACTGCAGCACGCTTGAAAACTAATGTATGCTGATATGTGGAGATGTGCAGAAATCTCCCCCTGCTATATGTTTGCACTTTCATCAATCTGTTTAATAAAGTGTCCTCTGCTAACAAGAATGCTACTAAAGGAGGGACCAGTGTTGCACCAGAAGACACCAACAGTACTGCCTACTTGCTGTCGCCTAGTTTTCAGAATATACTGTTGTTGTTTTTTTTTCCAGAGAACTATTTTTCTCATAATCTAAAATATTGGTATCATTTTTGCCTGATGTACTTATGATAAATTTTGCCAAAGGAACACTCTGTCACTGAAATCAAAAATAGTTTATAGGCTAGGGAGTAATTATTTTTAAATAAACTATGTGTGATAAAGCCATATTTAAAGACACTTGGATGTGTTGCAAGAACTTTTTAACAATTATGTTTTAGGCTATCACAAGTTGAATATCTAAAAATAAATATTTCCCAAGACACTATTTAAAAAAAAAAAAATACAGACCTTTCCCCTTTTCCCTCCCCTTCCCTTCCTTTAAAAAAAAAAAAAAAAAAAAAAAGTAATGAAGCAAATATGATGAACAAATTTACAGTTATATTATTTCTTATAGCCTGGAAATTAGCTGCTTTGTGAGTACTCCACTGCTTGAGAGCATGTGTTAAAAGATTCTGCGCTAGAACCCAAAGTATTTAAATGTTAAAATTCACATTATTGTGGATATTTGTATTGTAAAAGATGGTGCCAAGATGCTACAGATGCATTTTTTCACAAACTCTTTTTTTTATTATTATTATTTTCTCCTTTTTTCCACATTTTTTTGTGCTCTGAGAAGTTACACAAGCCTCTTCATGGTGATGTAAACCCTTGGAATAAGGAGACCGTTCCAGCTGGAACTTGCTTCAGCTAGTAAAAACCTACACCTCAGCTTCACTTGTCCAAGCCAATGTTACCTCTCCTTGTATATAATGGTAAATCTGGACTGACTCCTGCAAACTCTTTGCCTAGTTAAATAAACTAATAAACAGCAATATTTAAAACTAAGTAATTTTATGTTAAGTATAGGATTTTTTTTTTTTAATATAGACAGCTACAGACGTGCCTGTTCACATCTGTAAATGATTTGCAAATAGAGACATGAGACTGTTTGTGTCTGAGGAAACTCCACTACTTTTGATCAAGTTAAGCTAAAGTGATTTGGGCCTATATAACTAAAAATAGCCATTAGCAAGACATGAATAAAATGTTATGAGAAAGTTCAGTATAAAGCTTTTTTCCTAAAATGTGCTTTTTCTATACTTACAGCGTCAGCAGATTACATAGTACATTTGCAAGTGCACGTATCTCACTCTAAAGCTTTGCTGTCTGTTCAGTGGACCAGTTTCATACAAGAGTCAATAAATATTCCATTTTATCTGACTTGGAATCAGAATACAAATAGGAAAACAAAGTAAATGGAACAAGTTAAGACACTCCCATACTCATGATTTGTATCTTTTCTCCACTAGGCTTGAACTGCGGTAACCTGTTGGCAGGATAGTGTTAATTTGTGATTGCTCATTTGTTGAAAAAGAATTTACTGTTTATGAAATAACCTGGAAGCTATAATTTCTTTTACAAGAGTTACTAGTATTTCTACTTCTCTCTGAGAAAATTTTATGGTGAACAAAAGAGTCTTGCCTTTTAAACAAAGAAAGCATGATCCTGTGGGTAATACAAGGCAGGACACTGCCTCCATTTCCCTTCATGACATTTGGCAAGCACTTTATCAGGTTTGTTGTCTGCTGTGTGGGGTTGCTTTATTAATTTCACTTAGGTTTTGTTAATTAACTCAGGTTGTTCAAATAGGTGGGAATGCTGCATAAATAAAAAGCTGTACTGATCTTTTCCCCTTGCTCTGCCGAGGCATTTTGCACAAACTACAATGTCATAATGTATGTACCTAAAACTCCAATGTGCTTTCTTCAATTATTAACACAAATCAATAGGAGTGGATCACTGTGCTGAAAGCAATCATGGCTGCGAGCATCTGTGCTTAAATACTGATGATTCCTACGTCTGTCAGTGCTTTGAAGGATTTGTCATTAATGAGGACCTAAAAACCTGCACACGTAAGTCTTCTGAGAACATACTTTATCTCAGCTCACCTGGGAAAGGTTTCTGTTTTCATACAGGGAAGAGGACACACCTTCAGGGGAGGGAAGTGATACCATCTAGAGGGACATCAACAGTCTCAAGAGGTGGGCCTCTGTCAGCCTCATGAAGTTCAACAAGGCCAAGCACAAGATCCGACACCTGGGTCAGGGCAATCCCAAACTTGAACACAGACTGGGTGATGAGCTAAGATAGCAGCCCTGTGGAGAAGGATATGGGAGTACTGGTGGATGAAAAGATCAACGTGAGCTGGGAATGTGTGCTTGCAGCCTAGAAGGCCAACCATATCCTGGGCAGTGTAGCAGCAGGACAAGGGGTAACAGTTTTAAAACTAAAAGAGGTTAGATATAGATTAGACCTTGGCAAGAAATTCTTCATTCAGAGGGTGGTGAGGCACTGGCACAGGCTGCCCAGAGAAGCTGTGGGTGCCCCATCCCTGGAGGTGCTCAAGGCCAGGCTGGATGGGGCTTTGGGCAACCTGGTGTAGTGGGAGGTGTCCCTGCCCATGGTAGGGGTGTTGGAATTAGATGAGCTTTAAGGTCCCTTCCAACCCAACCCATTCCGTGATTCTATGATTCCATTTATTCTCACAGACTGAATTTCAAAAACACCTTAATAATGTTTTGAAAGCAGAGACAGAGAGAAAAAGGACTTGGAAAAAGGCACTTGTCAACATTACTGTAAATTCTAGTGTTTTCAGCAAGTTTTGGAAGAAACACCCCCAGTGGTTGAGGACAGTTTTCCAGTCACATGACACGTGTCTGACTGACATTTTAAGATTTGTGTTCCCCAGGCAAACTGCATCATCTGATCTGGGGCAGAAGTGTGAATCCCATAGAGCTTTACTGCTCACATGGGAGCCCTTAATAAGCAAACAAAAGTTGTCCTGACAGCTCTCCACCCTTTATAAATCTAATGATCACTGAGAATCATTGCAGTTTCACAAATGGCCATATTGCCTCCTTTACTGGAAAAAAATACATAAAAAGAAAAAAAAATATTAAAAAAAAATTAAAAGGGCCAGGAAGAAAGGAATGTGATTATATTTTGCCTGGTTACTTTTCCTGGACCCGCCGTCTTTGATGAGAGAGTTTTGGCCACCTTTTCTGCAGATTGCAGAGGTACATTGTTTTTCAAGCTTGTTGAATGTTGGAGTAGCTCCAGACTTAGCTCCTTTACTTGCACTTGGGCAAAACAGTTTTAACAGAAATCAAAATGATACAAAAATAATCTTGGATACAAAGATAATCTTGGGAAAAGTGAGGCAAATCTGCAAAGGCAAACTGCCTTTGTCTTTAACCTTATCTTTGTCTCTGTACTATCCTTTTTAGCCCCACTTTAGCAGATTTTGCTTCTGTCACTGCAAGAATCAAAAAAGGGACAGTAATGCAAAATTAGTACTCTTGTATATACAATAGAGGTTGGGGTGTGCTAGAAACAATTTATCTGAAAATTCATCTAAAAGAACCCCTGGAAATTCAGAAACAGCCAAACTATGTTTTTAATAGTTTTATCAACTTGCAAATGGAAAAACCCTTTTCCTTTGTAGTAAAAAGAGGTGTTTTATTTCACTCAGTCATTTTCCTCCAGGCTGTAGTTCGAGACTCATCAGCAGCATTAAAACTGTGCTGTGGTTTCTGGAATCCCTCCATGCAATAAAACTGAGAGATTTTGAATGGTGGTTCTTCTTGCCAGTGTATCCCTTCCCTCTTATTTATTTAGGAATAAGATTTGTCCTATTCCTGAGCTCCAGATGAGTTGCTGAGACACTGTGGGTTTTTTAGACTCCCATGAAAATAGTTTTGGCACTTGGGATGTCTTGAATGAGTGGCTTAGTGGGATTAGCATTTAACATATACCACTCCTAATGGAAAAACATCGGGGACATGACAACACTGGTGTCATATATAGAGGCACAGTTGTCTTAAGACAGCTAGGAGATCACCTGAGTGGTAAATAGATTTCTGCTTTGACAGCTTAGTACAAAACAATGAGTGGCACTGTGTGTGTCGCCTATAAAGAGTGAGTGCTGCCTGCAGATTCCTGGGGGTATTGTGTCTTTGTACTACGCAGAAGAAACACTCAGGAAATTTGAGATGAAAAAATGGACCACATTGATTGATTGTTCTTGTCATTTTCAATTCTTTGCAAAAGCTTGGATAGCCTAAGCTAAAGACCACTAAGGTCCCAGAGAGGTTTTCTGCTTGCTGCCACAGCAGCTAGGTCAGGCACACAAACAAGTCTGGGGAATGCCACGTTTACATCAGATCATTTAGAAACCATCTCTAAAGAGTGTCCTCAAGGTAGCTTTTCTGTCTTTTCCACTGTCTTTTATAAAATCATTGTTAAAGTGCTGTTTTATCTTTTTTTCCTAAAATTCAGCTTGTGAGTACTAAGACATGGACTCTCTTGAGTTATGCTAAACATTCTCAACCCTGCTTACAGCAGGCAATGCAAAGCCTTCTTAAATTATATTGAAGCTCTATGCATATTATTGGATAAGGAACAGGATTGTTGCTTAAGTGATTCAATGAGTGTATATTTACTTGCTTATATGCAATGCAAATACTAAGAATGAAAATAATCCTTTAATTAATTATTAATTAATTTTTTAAAATAACGTTCATTGCTCCTGCAGGAGTTGACTATTGTGCTCTGAGTGATCATGGCTGTGAACATTTGTGTATAAATGGTGACAGATCTTATACTTGTCAGTGTTTTGAAGGATACAGGCTTCGGAATGATGGGAAAACATGCAAACGTAAGTTATTATTCAGCAAGTCAGTGCTAGATTTTTATTTCACACACAGAAAAAAAATATGTAGGGTAGGATTTGATTGCCTAAACATGGCTTTCATTTATGTCATTTTAAATGCTCCAGTATCACAAAAGTTCACAGTTACCCTTTTGGTGTCCTATTTGCCAGCAGTATGTCAATATCTTGGATACTCTAGGGCATCTAAAGGGGCACTGGGTAGAAACTTTTAGGCACCTGACTGACTCCCTGAATGCCTGGGACATACAGAAAGTAGCTCTGATGCTGGTCTGTCATGGATCCAAAATTATTTTACCCCAACTTACATCCTTATATCAGAGAACTGTAATTTTCTTCTCAAATCGAGGCAAAAATATATAGCATTTCAAAAGATTTCTACAGCACAAAGAAGCCTGCAATACTAATGGAATGTTCATTTTCCCCCAACGTGGTATAAGGGTCATTGCAAAAGAGATATCGTAATTGCATTATACATTTGGCTACGTTACGCAGTTCTGAAGAGTGACAGATATAAAAAGGAATTGAAAATTTCTCTCCAGTATAAGAGCACACACTAAGGGATCAAAGAAGAATTGTGGATAAGTCCTTGGAAAACACAGAGGCATGAAATACTTCATAACTCTAAACCAAATCATATCCAACGATCTCATCAACATCTGCTGTTATAAAATATGTACAAAAAAAAAAAATAAAATTAAAAGTCATCCAGACACTGACATGACAAATGAAAATCTCCATATTACCAGTTTGTATTACACATACCACATCAACAACCTACTTTGTTAGTCCATGCAAAGAGACAAATTTTACCTGTCTCAAAAAGTACTGACACCTTAACCTTGCAAAAAGCTAAAAGTAAGTGCAATTTTGTCTTCATGCAATAGTCTTGGCAAGAAAATAAAGGGTGGGGAGAAGAAAGCGTAAGTCAGAAAGATGTTAGTTTATCCAATGTTAATAAATAGACAATTTCATTTTATTTTGAAATATAAGTTGTAACTAAATCACCTATCAGGAAAGCCCACTGAACATCAGCTTACCCAACTATAGCTGGCAATTTTCAAGAATGCCACAGCAGGATTATACAGTTGGTCTTTCTCATTACATTTAAACACTACGTAAACTGAGCTTTTGTAATTCTTGTTTACAGAAAATTGACAAACACCATCTGAACTTAACCACAGGGAAAGACAGCATAACTACTACAGGTTTGAGCAGGTTTATTACTGAAGATAAAATGATGGTCATGGAAAGATGTTTCTCACCAGAAAGTTTACTTGAAATGTGGATGTGGGATTTAGGTGCCTTTGGAAATCTCTGTGGGTTACTAATCTTCATGCTGGGGACACATGAAATTATACAAACTCTGGAACCAAAACAGCGCACTTTTTCCTAGTAATAAGGTTATAAAATTGTACAACAAAGAGGTACCTTTAGAAATTGACAGTAGGTGCTATAAATGATTTGCAGAGTTGAGTCAGGAATACCAGCAAGAACAAGAATATTCAGTAACTGAACATCCTGTCCTTAACTAACACAATTCTTCATCTTTTAAATTACTCTCAGGTAAAAACATCTGTAAATCAGTCAACCATGGCTGTGAGCATGTTTGTGTTAGTGCTGACAATTCCTACACCTGCAAGTGTCGTGAGGGATACATACTGAGAGAAGATGGGAAAACATGCAGAAGTGAGTAACCAATATATATTGAACATTTTTGCATGTGCATTAGGCAAGAAAAGAAAGGAGTTTATCACTTCTCACTAGAAAACATCATTTTGATACCTACATTTTTAATGTGTTTTCATTCAAAACTATATTTATATCTGAATCATTCCCAGGACAGGACATCTGCAAATCAGTCAGCCATGGCTGTGAGCATATTTGTGTTAACAAAGATGACTCTTATGCTTGTGAGTGTCATGAGGGCTTCCTACTGAGAGAAGATGGGAAAACATGCAGAAGTAAGTACTCTGGTAATTACTGGTAGACTCCTTTCTACAGAACGTAGATCTCTGGAAGTGTTTTAACAAAAAGCACTTTTGTAGTTTATTCATGATGCACTATTGTTATACCTGCCAGAAGCTTGTAAGAGACTCAGTGGACAGAAATAATGTATTTTAGTAGCTAAACTGATATGACTGTAGACAAAAAAGACCCATAATTTTTCAGGTACCAAGAGTTAGAAGTGTTAGCTGCCTAAATTTTTGTCCATTTCTTCCAATGATCTCAGTAGACCTAATAAAAGCTATTACTTCTCCCTGCATAATATATTCATTGTAGATGTGCTTTAACCAAAAACCGTCAACTATTCTCAGATAAAGACATTTGCAGCTCAGTTGCCCATGGCTGTGAACATGTTTGTGTTAATGCTGATGAGTCATACATCTGCCAGTGTTATGAGGGATTTGCATTAAGGGAAGATGGAAAAACATGTAGAAGTAAGTATCCTTATCTTTAATAGAAATTTTCCTTAAAATCTGTGCATTTGTAGACATGTTTTAAAGTCTGGCACCATTCTTTTTTTTCCAGATAAAGATGTTTGCAATTCTGTTGACCATGGCTGTGAGCACGTTTGTGTGAACACTGATAATTCGTACATTTGCCAGTGCTATGAGGGTTTTGTATTGAGGGAAGATGAGAAAACATGTAAAAGTAAGTTACTTGATGTTAATGTATTTTTTACACTCAGGGGTATACTGGAGAAGCAAGTTGTGCTAGAGGTAGGTCTTATTTATAATTTTACCTGACAAAAAGGAGGATAAATTCTTTATTTTACTAGGAGTTTTTTACTGTTAGCATTTATATTTTTGGAAATGTACTCATTTATTAAACTGTAGTAAATAAAATCTAAATTATTCCTAGGTAAGGACATCTGCAGATCAGTCAATCATGGCTGTGAACATCTTTGTGTTAATAATGACGACTCATACACTTGCCAATGTCATGACGGATTTGTACTGAGGCAAGATGGGAAAACATGCCGAAGTAAGTAGCTTATGAATAAAAGGAGAAAATTCATTTCCCTTTTACTTGGAAATTATTAAGTGATTCATAGTGGTCAGAGCAGAATACTGTCCTTTATAGATCATAAGATTTTTAGAAATTAATTATTGTTTGAACTAAATCCTGTATTTCAGAAAATCAGCCAGTTTTAAGTCTGAATGTGGCTTTTAAAATGTGAACCTAATTTCTGGACTATGCCAAAATTTAATCTTGAGCATAGGATGTTGCTACATTTTACTTTGATGAGTTGAACTTCTAATTGCCACTGTGTTGTTCTGTGTATACTCATGTGGACCATAATTTAACCTGTTCCTTAGCTTAACCTCTTATCATGGTCTTTAGTACATGACAAGCAGATGAAACTCCTTCAAGCTCTTTATATGTTTTCCAATCTTTTCATAAATCTCTTCTTGCTTTCCTAAAGCCTTTTTTATGTATCAGCATCCTTGCGGGGACACCACAGTGGTACAAAGTCTTACAATACAAGGTACAGTAGGGTCCAGGGTATAAGAACTATATCCCTGATTCTGTTTTGAATCTACCCTTTTTTTTTATGACCAAAGATAACGTTAGTCTCTGACCATACAACTCTGCTAAAGCTCATGTGTAGCCAGTTATCTACCATGATCATAGCTACATAAGACTCTCAGTCATACAAGTGTCCCACATCCCGTGGGAAGTACTGGCCTTCATTTTTTTTTTTTTCTAAATATGTTAAGTCTAATTCTGGCTATTTAAAAATATATACGGCTTGTTGTTACTCAGCCTGCAAAAAGATTCCTGTCTCTTTATATCAGCAGCTGCTCTATTTTTATTTGCAATTGCTTCAACTTTGGAATAACCTACAAACTTTGTCAGTGATTATTTTACATTTTCTTTAAGATTGTTCATTAAAATGTTAAATAGCACAGAGGAGGGCAAATTCTTAGAAAGAAAGCCACTTGACGATTCCCCATTTACAATTTTTCCTGAAGACCTCCCTAGCCACTGTTATAATAATAATTATAATTATTATTATAATTATTATTACCCATATAATGTTGATTTTCTAGTTATTTTTGTTTTGTTTTCTTAATCAAATTAAATACCAAGGCTGATACTGTCCTGGATTCTCCATTGTATGAGTAACCTGAGCTTTACAAAACAGTCTCATAGTCAATTTTAAAAGATACTTATTTACTTTTCCCACATCTATTTTTCCATAATACCAACTAGACTAATTTTCTTTCTTTGATTTTCTCTAAATCAAGGTCAACATTATCTTTTCCATTGTTTTAATGCAGATCAGTGTCAAGCTGACAGGCTTACAGTGAATTAGTTACCCTTTTCAAATGCTGTGTGTGTATGCACAGGGAATGGAAACTCCTCGGTGTTTTGGGGTATTCCCTGGAGTTCTGGGAGGTAATGAAAAAATAATGCTAGGCATCCAATGTGGTGTTCAGCCAGCTCTGTTACACCTCTTGGCAAGTGATCTGGAGTTACTACTGTTTCTTCAGTAGGTGCTGTGTGACTTACTACTCAGCTCACGAAACATCATTCAAACAATATTATCAGTAGCCTATTTCATAAGTCCCAGTTTGGATATACTAAATATTTTTTACCTTTTCTGCATTAAGATTGACAGTTCTATTATTTCTGTCTACTAATTAACAATATTCTGTTAAATTTGTTTTCTTTTGTTTTCAAATAACCTTTAAATAACTTACTCATACTGCCCTTCATTATGTTGGTCATGCACTCTCTTTTCCTTTATCTTATTATTTCCATGTTCTTCTTTTAATTTCACAGGTTTTCATTTTCAGTAAATAATGTGAATTTTCCTTTCATTCATTATTCATATCTTATAGCTGTTTTCTGTTTCAATTTCTAACGGAGGTTGGTTTCTAACTACCCTAGTACTTTTGTTTTGATGATGTGACTAAGGTTTTTTTGGAGGTGTCTAGTTAAGGTTATCTAAAATAACCTTAAATGGTGCAGTCATCCTTACTTTTTTTTTTTTTCTTCCATCACAAAATCCTTTGGCTCATAATTGCTTTCAGCTATGTAAAATTTATCCTTCTGAAGTAATAGCTGTTTGTTGCTGGCTTGTATTTCATTCTGTTTGAAAACAACAAATACTGCACACAGCTGTGCATAAGCTGACGCTAACTGATGCTAATTTTGACTTCCATAACCATTTCTTCTTTACCTGCTAGAACAGGATCTAGTCTAGATTATGTCTTGAATGTTGTTGAGTTAGAAGATTGTCCTCTGTAGTATTTTTGGGAATTTTTGTGTTGGCAGCATGAAACCTCCAGGTAATGTGCCTCAGGCTGAAGTCCTTGTGAAAATATAAATGTCTTCTCTACACATTGAACTTACTTGCTCTGCTAATTGCTAAGAACCAAGAGAAGCCAGCTGATGTAATCTGGATTTTGGCAAAGCTTTCAATACAGTTTTTCACATTATCCTTCTGGACAATATATCCAGCATACAGCTAGACAAATAAATAGTACAATGGGTGAACAGTTGGCTGAAGGGTCAGTCTCAAAAGGTGATAGTGAATGGGGTTACATCAAACTGGCAGCGAGTCAATAGCGAGGGTCCACTGGGCTGCGTTTTACGGCCAGTTCTCTTCATTGTGTTTCTAAGTGATCTGGATACAGGATTTGAATGCATACTAAGTAATGTTGCAGGTCACACTACATTAGCAGGAGATTGTGGTGGGCTAGGCAGTTACTAACATGAAATTTAACAATAGTTAAGTGCTCGATTCTGCACCTGGGATAGGGCAACCCTAGCTGTATGTACAGACTGCGAGATGAAAGTCTGGAGAGCCGCCCTGAGGAAAGGGATCTGAGGGGTTTTGGTCAACAGCAAGTTGAACGTGAGCCAGCAGTGTGCTCTGGCAGCAAAAAGGGCCAACCATACCTTGGGAAGCATCGAGCATGGCAATGCTAGCCAGTTGAGGAAAGGGATTGTCTCACTTTGATCTGCAATGACGTGGCCTCACCTCAATTACTGTGTGCAGTTTTAGGTGCCACAATGTAAGAAGGACATAAAACTATCAGAGAGTGGCCAAAGGAGGACAATAAAGATGGTGAGGGTTCTAGAGGGCAAGACGTGCAAGGAGCGGCTGAGGTTCCTTGGTGTGCTCAGCCCCGAGCAGAGCAGGCTGAGGGGAGGCCTCATGGCGGCCTGCAGCTCCCTCACGAGGGGAGCGGAGGGGCAGGCGCTGAGCTCTGCTCTCTGGGGACAGCGACAGGACCCGAGGGAACGGCATGGAGCTGGGACAGGGGAGGGTCAGGCTGGGGGTTAGGGAAAGGGTCTGCACCCAGAGGGTGGTCGGGCACTGGGACAGGCTCCACAGGGCAGTCATCATGGCACTGAGCCTGCTGGAGGTCAAGAATAGTTTGGACAACGTTCTCAGACACACAGCCTGATTTTTGGGTTGTCCTGTGTGGAGCCAGGAGTTGGACCCAGTGATCGATGTGGTTTCCTTCCAACTTAGGATATTCTATGGTTCTGTGATTCTGACCAATCTGAACTTTGCTGTCAGAGGTATCCACTGTTATATTTCCTATGTAAAAGTAGTTCTGCATTAGCAACTGGGAATATATATATATATATATATGTATGTATATATACATATATATATACATACATATATATATATATAATATATATATGTATGTGTATATATGTATATATATATATAATAATATATATATTGTTGTTGTTGTTGCAGTGAAAAAGCAACAGGGAATGCTGATAGATGGCTTGACTTCCTCCTGTACTTTCTCCTCCTCTATCCTTCTTGAAGAGGTTATGACCAACTGGTTTTAACACTGCACTCATACAAATTCCCCTATCAGCTTTCAGCATTTTATTTATCCTCTTAAACGAGTAGTTCCTAGTCTCCTGGATTTTGCTTATGCAGTTTTTTGGCATTGATGTAAGAGTCCCAAAGAATTGTTTTGCTTTGTGTCCTGTGGTGTTTTGCTTAATTTTGTTTTCACTAGCATGAATTTATGCTAAATGACTATGCTAAATTACTCCTTCCTTTTTCTCTTACTGCTGTCAGTGTAGCATCCTCCTCCTTAATCTGGTCAGATTAATCCTAAAATAATTCATTGCCAGTGGGAGACCATCCAAACTGTGCAGTTCTTTCTGCTCAGATAGTAAAGAACTCATGCCTCATGTGAGCTAAACTGCTAATCATTCAACTAGCCAGAAATTTGCTTTCAGCATGCATGCTTCCATATTTCTTTGCTCATGGGATTACCCATACAGTCTTTATATTTATGTACATATATATAAAAAAAGTTTAACTAGCAAATCACATTAAATATTATCTGACTATTGCTAGGCAAGGATATTTGCAAATCAGTCAACCATGGCTGTGAACATGCCTGTGTTAATGCTGGTGATACATTTATTTGTAAGTGTCGGGAGGGATTCCTGCTACGAGAAGATGGAAAAACGTGCAGAAGTAAGTAGTCTGATATTTATCAGCATACTTTTTATCTGCAGTTCATGCTTGTGTGGAAACATATTAACTAGCAAGAGCTGTCATCTGTTCTCAGATAAAAATCTTTGCAAAGCAATCGACCATGGCTGTGAACATGTTTGTGTTAATACTGATGATTCCTATATCTGCAAATGCCATGATGGGTTCCTGCTGAGAGAAGATGGGAAAACCTGCAAAAGTAAGTAGCATGATAACTTAATTTGATGAATTACACATATAATCAAGACCCCTGCTGATACATGTTAACTACCAACTCTCTTGTTTGCAGACAAGGATGTTTGCAATTCAATCAACCATGGCTGTGAACAAGTTTGTGTGAATACTGAAGACTCCTACATCTGCAGATGTCATGAAAATTTCATACTGAAGGAAGACGGAAGGACATGTAGATGTGAGTAGCCTGAGTCATAAGAGTATGTTTTATTTTCTTGAGGCATTTAAGTGTTGTGCCTGTGAGTGTTTCCACATGTGTATGTTTATTAGTGATTTCTAACTACTTAAGCTACTTATTAAAGATGTTATCTCTTCCTAAAGAATCTCATCTAACAAACTCCATCCATTCTCCTCAGATAAAGATGTTTGCAAATCAGTTGACCATGGCTGTGAACATATTTGTGTTAATACTGATGATTCCTATATCTGTGAGTGCCACGAGGACTTCGTACTGAAGGAAGATGGGAAAACTTGTAAAAGTAAGTTGTTTAATCTTCATTATGTATTTTCTGATCCATTCATGAAGCATATCATGTAGTGTGTTCTTTGTGTCTTTAACATGCAATTAACTTCATAAAATAGCATACAATCAGCTTCATGGAAATGAGCTTTGTCATGGAAGATTATTGCTCTAATTTTTATATTTTGTGAAAGTTATTTACCTGAATAACTGTGCTAAATATTATTTTCATTATTCCCAGGTAAAAATATCTGCAAAACAGTCAACCATGGTTGTGAACATGTTTGTGTTCCAACTGGTGATTCATACGTGTGTCAGTGCCACAAAGGGTTTATACTGAGGAGAGACAGGAAAACATGCAGGAGTGAGTAGCTGGAACTTTTATGGGGAATGTGTTCTTTCAGTCATAAAAGTGATGACAGCCTAAATTTTTCTCAAAATTGTTTTATGCCAGTTTTGCTTTTGACAGCAGATTTAATAATGAAATTCTCTTAACAATTCTCAGATAAAGACCTGTGTAAGTCCATTGACCATGGCTGTGAACATGTGTGCATTAATAATAATAATTCATACAGCTGTCAGTGCCATGAGGGTTTTGTCCTGCGGCAAGATGGAAAAACATGTCGAAGTAAGTAACTGAATAAGTCTATCAGACACTTCTCCAGCATTACCACATAAAAAACTGAAAGAAGTCCTACTTCTTTGTCATATGTTCTTCAAATGACATTTGAAACGTTTGAATTTATAAATATGTTAAATAGAATACATATAAATATTTCAATTTTTCATAGGCAAAGATGTCTGCAAATCAGTTGCCCATGGTTGTGAACATATTTGTGTTAATAATGATGATTCATACAGCTGCAAATGTCAGGATGGATATGTACTGAAAGAAGATCAGAAAACATGCAGAAGTAGGTACATTTTATTCAGAAAGACTTTGTTTCTTTGATTTTTAAAATTTCTTGACCTCACTTCAAATGCCTCACTTCAAAACTGATGTATTGTTTGAAAGCCCAAACCATATGTGAGTGTGATGGAATGTCTTGAACAATTTAGCTTGATGTTCTTGTAAGCAAAAAAATAACAGAATGAATGGTTGTTTTAATACAGTATCAAATACAATAATAATCCCTTCCAAACATCAGGAAAAAAGTCAGAACAAAATCTTATTATCAAGGAATGTGTACTTTAAACAGATTCATATACTGTGGAGCTTTTATCTTTATATACTAAATTGTAAAATATCGTTAATTCTATTTTCTTATCTTATAACATGACACCCTTGGAACATGATATGCATTTATCTCATCACCCTTCTAATTTCTGGAGGAGAAACTCATCTACTTGAGCTCAGTAAAAATATTTATTCTGCAAAAATGGATGCCTTACTTGAGGAGAGTATTATTACCAAAAGAATGGTAATATGTTCATGGCTGATCTCAATCATAATTAAAACAGTTCACCATGAACTGTTGCCCTTTCTTGACATATGCAGTGATATTGAGGTGGTTTTGATATTTAGTGAATTTCCATTGCTTTAGTAAGTGACACATTTTTTCCTCAGATGACTGCAGAAAGGAATTCTTGGACACCGGTTCTAAAAAGGAGCTATTGTCCAGGAAGAAACATCCAAATGTTAAAACTGAAAATTCCATATCCCTGCTGACTTGCTAACAGACAGCTTCAGTAATTGCTGCAGTCAAAGCAGGGTGCTTACAGCTGCTTTCATTTTTGCAAGTGCACTTGACCAAGTATGAGAATTCCAAGTTTGTCAGTATCTCCTGGATTGTCTCGCAGCTTCAGTGGGTAAAACAGAAAACGTTAATTTCAGCAATAAATAAGGCTTCTAATTACAAGATTTTAAGAAAGTTACAAGCAAAACAATGTATATAAACCATTCTGATCCAACATTATCAGCTAGGCACCCTTCTAGCATTTACTGTCTCCCCTATAATTTTTTAGCTGTTTGCCAGTAGAGGCTTAAATTTGAGCTATAAAAACACAGGCATCGTCTGAATTTTTCCCTAGACATGAACCTCATCCCAAGCTGTACCTAACCCTTCTCTTTCAGCCTTCCCCAGCTCTTCAGCTCTTACCTCATTCTTTCCTGCAACTCTAAACACAACTTCTAAATTTTCAACTTATATGCAAGTATAGCTTCAGCAACTCATCTCTTTGTACCACCTTTATGTTTTTGCTACTTCTGCAGTACAAATACAGCTTCAGTGATTCTCTTCCATTTATTTCAGTGTTGGTCATCTACACAAAGGTAAAGTTAGCCTACAGGCCCATCCCTAGAAGAAAATGGTCAAAACTGTTTCTATATCCTAGCTATGTTCTTCAGTTACAGTTTTCCCTACTTAACAATCATTCTTAAAATTTGCTTAAAAATCTAATTTACTGCAAAGTTTTAAACATTTGAAGTATTATTAAGAGTCATAGTATTCTACAAAGCAGCACATATTGATAGATATTCATCGTGATTATATTTTTATTATAAACTACAGTCATGGGCACACTCTTACCTTTTGATATGAACTGTCTACAACATCTCTAGAATCACTGGCAAGATTGTCTGAGCCAGGGTCAAGGTACTCTATATGATACCTGAGTTCATATAGTCCGTATGTGTCTAGGTCCTATTTTCAGCTTTGTCGACTTGTTCATGATCTAAACACTGCTGCTTATTTCACAGGATGCACCGAAGGCCCAGTTGACCTGGTGTTTGTGATTGATGGATCGAAAAGTCTCGGAGAGGATAATTTTGAAATTGTGAAACAATTTGTCTCAGGAATATTGGACACGCTTGAGATTTCACCCAAAGCAGCTCGAGTTGGTTTGCTTCAGTATTCCAGTGAAGTCCGCACAGAGTTTACATTAAGGCAGTTCAGCTCAGCCAAAGACATGAAGAAAGCTGTATCACAAATGAAATATATGGGGCGAGGTTCCATGACAGGACTGGCTCTGAAGCAAATGTTTCAGAGAAGCTTCACAGAAACAGAAGGCGCCAGACCATTTTCAGCAAATGTCCCTCGAATCGCTATTGTATTTACGGATGGACGAGCCCAAGATGAAGTCTCTGGGTGGGCTGCTAGAGCAAAGCAAACTGGTGAGTGGAAGTGTCTTTGATTCTTTCTTAAAGGCAAATATTGTGATAAAGAGGATGTAGAATCATAGAGAATCAGAGAGTAGTGATAGTATAGGGATAGCATTGAGCATCACTTGCTTTGTATATTTTATTATTGTTGTTGTTGTTATTATTTTTCTTCCTTTTCTGTCCTATTAAACTATCTTATCTCAACCCACAAACTTTTACTTTTTTCCTCCCAGTTCTCTCCCCCATACTCCGCTGTGTGTGCCAAACATCTGTGTGGTACCTAGCTGCCTGCTGGACTAAACCACAATGATGCTGCACATATTTTTTCTGGTTTTGTTTTATTGACTTGATATGACGGTCATGGTGATGTATGAGTAGTGTAGCCCTGGTCAGGACTGGACTTCTTTGTGCGAAGAAAAGGATATGAATAGAATATGCGCTAGCAAGGCTGCTGCTACAATGAAATATAAACCAAGTGCTTTTAAAAAATTAAAAAGAAAGATTTATACACTAAATAGTGAGGTCTGGGTAAGTAACTGGAGAATTTACAGGACTGAAGGAAAATAGTACTAAGCCAACCTTGCTTACTTACTGAATGAAACCCCAGCTCCAGACTGTTTATACTGATATTTGTAGCACTACAAGCCAAATCCATCCCTTGTGTAATTGCAGTGTAGGCAATGTAGTAATGTTGAACATAAAATTGGCCTTGAATGCTTTATCACTGATATCTCCAAGTCTTTAAAAAGCAACAGACTTCAGCATGACTGGTTCATTCATTAAATTGAATAAGCTTCTGGTGAATGTTTTGCTTTCCTGGCTGAAGTGCAATTGTAGGCAGATTCATGACAAAAAGTAAGGAGATGCTCGAGCAAAATATTGAAGAGTTGGAAAATGCATATTTTATGATGTTATCAGGCCCAGGATTCTTCATCAATAAGGCTAAAGTTACAATTCAGTGAGTATGTAGCTGTTACTCTTCAGTGATAATAGAGAGACACCAAACCTTCTTATCTTAAGTTTTATCTGAAACTTAACAACTGAGAAGTCACTGTTTGCTCTTGGAACTTGCAAAAGAGATTGAAATACTATGAAGCTAATTGCTCTATTATGAATCAGAAAATCAATACTAGCTGTGGACAATTTCTATGCCAGAAATAATGTAGAGAAATGTTGTGTCAAGTGATAGGTTTGCAAGAATAAAGAAATCTGTGGTTAGTTGCTGAAAAAGGGGATATTGAAGATCACCATGTTTTCTACTCGTTGCTTGTCTTTCCGATTAGAGGGCTGTGAACCACTTCCTCCCACCCAGCTATCAGAGTCTTTTTCACTCTTTTCTTTTCTCCCTAGCATGTCTGCAGGGGAGATGCCTGTATGAAGCATCCCTGCTGTGAGGGCCTTTCTCTCCTAGACCCTCAGGATTCCTTTCCCATGTTCTTACCCTCATGGGTTTGGGTACCTTTGCTGTGCCTCCCAGCCCATCCCTTAGAATGAAAGCATCTAGTATCGTTTTGCTCTGAGGATTCCAGTGAAAAAACAATTCATATATTTTTAAAAAATTACTGGCATCTTTCAAGAGTCTGACCCATTTGCTGACAGATAACAGGTTTCCCCACCAGCTCAGCAAGTGCCTTTATCACATGCACCCTGCCTGCACAGACACACACAGACCAGGAACTCTCAGTACAACTGGGAGGCTGACTTGTATGATTCACAGAACCACAGAGTGGTTGAGGTTGGAAAGGACTTCTGGAGGTCATCCCGTCCAACCCCAGAGCCAGCTGCCCAGGACCATGTCCTGATTGTTTTTGAAAATCTCCTAGGAGGTAGACCCCTCTGTGGACAACCTGTGCCTGTTCTCCATCACCTGCAGAGTGAAAAACTGTTTCCTGATGGTCAGAGGGAAGCTCTGAAGCTCAGTTTCAGTTTATGCCCATGCCCTCTTCTCTTGTCACTAGAACCACTGAAAAGAGCCTGGCCCCATCTTCTTTGCATCCTCCCTTTGGATATTTAGAGGCATTGATGAGATCTCCCCCAAGCTTTCTCTTCTGTAGGCTGACCAGTCCCAGCTTGCTCAGCGTTTCTGTATAAGAGATGTGCCAGCGCCTTCATCTTCTTGGCCCTTTGTTGGACTCTCTCTAGCATGCCCAGGTCTCTGTTGTACCAGGGAGCCCAGAACTGGACACAGTACTTCAGGTGTGGCCTCATATTCCTCTAGATAGGAATATGGCCCTTGGGTGAGTCAGCCAGCCCTGCCAGTTTTGTGTTCTCTGCAAACCTGCTGAAGGTATGTGCTGCCTTATCATCCAGCTCCTTAATGAAGATGTTGAACAGGGCCCAGTGTTGACCCCTGAGGTATACCACTAGTTAGTGGCTTCCATCTAATTCTCTTGGATGTTTTACAGTGCTCTTTATGGGTTCATTTACTGTTAGCAGTGGCCAACCAACCCTCATCTCTTTATCTTAAAAAACATCTACCTGTTAAATGACAGCAGAGCAATTTCTGCACATCTTTTAAATAACTGAAGCATATTAAGCCTGTTCAAACACATTTTTGAAGATATACAGCATATAATATATACATTTCTTGTGCTCTCCCGCTCTCTCTCTAAAATGACTAATGCTCACGTTTTCCTTTCATGGAGGAGCAGGGGTTTAGAAATGCCGATATAATAATTATATGCACTTTCTTTTGAACCTAGGTATAATTATCTATGCCATTGGAATAGGAAAAGCAATTGAGGAAGAACTGCTGGAAATTGCTTCTCAGCCATCATATAAGCATCTCTTCTACGCTGAGGATTTCACAGCTTTGGAGGACATAAGTGAAGAGCTGAAAGTCCAAATCTGTGAAGGTAACAGTATTCCACTTTGAGCTAAAAGAGGAATGAATGCTTATAGATCTATTTTGCAGGCCTGAAGTAACAAGTAGTTTTATTCATGGTGACCTCTGTCATAGTAGGTCATTGGTGTCAGACCTTGCAAGGCTCAAGGTAATTCTTCTGCTCTTTAAAACGTGAGGAATATATATGCCTAATCTATCACCAGGTAAAGGTATAGAATAATTTCATTTTCTCTATTTTCATAATGCTTGTATAAAATGTATGCTTCTGTGCTTAGAAGGATCAATTGCTTTCTTTTTGTTACACTGAAGTCAGCCATGCACTGAACCCCACCCTGCTGAAGCAGCATGATCTAGTTCATTAGGAATGTGGGAAAATAATAATGGATTTATAGAGCCTAATGAGACTTGTAAATTGCTCTTAAGATCAGTAGCAAAAGAAAAAAAAAAAAACAAAACAACAAAAAACAAACTCAGCAAAACAAATTATCAAGATCTGTTGTGCATATTTATAGAACATTAAAAACAGTTCACTGAATATATATTCAAAGCTACGAAGAGTGGATCTCAGTTGCACGTAAGCTCCAAGTTTTGCTTCACAAATGTGGACGATTTGCTGCAGAAAGCACCCTTCCTCATTCTGGCACAAAGAGCCTCAATCTAAACATTCCCAGCTGACGTTTTGCAAGGTACAGGGGGAATGTGAGCTGGGATGGAAGCTGTTCAGCTAGAGGAAGGACAGTATGTTTCTCCCACTCACACGTTCCCAGGACTCAGCATTATTTAGAACATTCAAATTTATACCTGAAGCAAAATCCAGAAGCATCACTGTAAATAAAATTGAGCACAACACTAGAATTGTACAGGATGGTTTAATTTTCAGTACTTCTGTTTTTTTGTTTGTTTGTTTGTTTTACTTGAAATTAAATGCAAACAGGTTTTACTTTGTTCTTTAGCTTTATTGTGTAAAATTCACTGGCAAGCAGTGGTGCGTTTCTTCCTCACACAGATGTCAGGGAAGAATCTGAAAAAAAGAATGTGAGAACAGTTTCCTAGTTTGTATATTTTGTGCTTCTCATTCATCATATGAATCTTCTAGCTCCATCTTTCTGAAATTCAAAATACTGTGATAGCATAAACCCAAGTCTGTTCATTAACCTTCTTACCAGGCAGATAATCTACTGATGACAGCATGTCATCTTAAAAGCTTGGGGAGACGCCAAGGCCAAAATTAGCTGGCAACTGGTATAATAATTCTCACTCATTAGCAAACCCCAGAGCTCAGTGATGGAAATGCATCCTTCAGGTACCCACAGCAGTGTTCAGCAGCCATTTTTTTTAAATATATTTGCCATCAGATGAAAAATAAGTAAATTCTGCCCCTCTGTGGCAGTTTCTAAACTGCACCTTTAGTAACTGGTTAGAGGTGGTGCCTCACAGCTTCTGTCCTCTTCCTCTCTCACCTCTAGGCAGTGCCTCAGCTGTTTGTTTGTTTTCCTGGACACTCCAGGAATTTGCTCATCAGCTGTTGCTCATCAACTCATACCACCAGAAATTCTGCCTCCATGCCTCTTACACAAGCTGAAAGTTTATTTTTCCTTTCAGTTTTTCCTCTCAGCCTATTTTTTTTCCTCCTCCTTTCCAACCGCAGTAATTTCATTTTGACTCTAGCCTTGGTCCTCAGCTGACGACTTTAAGGCACCAGCCTGAGGGCAGGGATGAGCTCTCTGAACTTCATGCAGCTCAGATGTGGACTCCACTGACAAAGCCTCTTATCCCCAGTCCCAGCTGTGGATGTGCTGCATGTGTACAAGTTAAAAACAGAAGTCATCCAAATCTCTTTAGGGATAAGGCTTTTTCCTTTTATTCTGCAAGAAAACCATCAGCTCTGTCAACAGTTGCTGATTACTATTAATTATTCTTGATGACTAGTAATTTGGAAAAAAAAAAAAGTGCTTTTCTCTTATGCTTCTTACTAAGAGGAACTCACTTGGAGGGTTCTCATTCATTGCCTTGGTTAATATTAATTTCTCAAGCACTAACAAGGCTACAGCGATGTCATATTTAATAGGCACTCATCACGATGGCCTCCACCCTTGTTCCGAGCACGTGCATTACGAGAGCCTTTAATTACAAGGCTACATGTATTTTTGTCACAAGGCCCCCCCAGCCCCGATCAGATGGCACCTGTTGGTTAACACTCTGTTCTTCCAAATTGCAGATCGTTATCGCTGCTGCAAATAGTCACACTGCCTTTGAAGATACATCCTCAGAGGCTTTTTTCTAATGTAATATTTAGATTTTGTTCCAAAACAGAGCATTAAAAACAAACACCTAACTTTAGTGTGGCTTCCCCAGCAAATTTGAGTATTTATGCTGACTGCACTGACTTTATCGAAGAACTTAGAAAGAAACTAGCAGCCTCTGTACTTCTCTGATTTGACAGAGGTGGTGAGATCAGAAATGTTTGGGTCCAAACCAGTCTCTGAAGCTTGAATGGGAGTTTCTGAAGTGCTCAACTACCCTCCCAAACTGGAAGTCCTCCTGCCCCACCAACATATCTCTCAGTCTTGTTTCTTCTCTATCCCTTGCATGTGAATCCTCAACTCTATGTCAGCCCAGTGGCGAGATCTCAAACTTTTCACGTCAGTCCTTCTACCCTTCCTAGATAGTCTCATTAGCCTACAGATCTTCAAGCACTTCTAGAGGGATTTCACAGCATTGAAGGGGTTGGAAGAGACCTCCAGAGATCATCAGGTCTAGTCCCCCTGCCAAAGCAGGTTCCCTAGAGCAGGCTGCCCAGGTAGGCGTCCAGATGGGCCTTGAATATCTCCAGAGAAGACCTCCCTGGGCAGCCTGTCCCAGAGCTCCATCACCCTCACCGTGAAGAAGTTCTTCCTCACATTGGTGCCAAGCTTCCTGCGATCCATAAAATTGCAGAGCCTCTTCAGCTCCGGCCGTAGTCGGCAGGATTCGAACCTGCGCGGGGAAACCCCAATGGATTTCTAGTCCATCGCCTTAACCACTCGGCCACGACTACACACAATTTACTACTTAGTGTCAACTACTCAAGGCTCACCTTACCTGTTTTGTCCCACCTACAGGGGGAATTTCACCATCCTTGTTCCTAGGTGCTTATTATTTTACAAGACACCTCACCTAGTTTGTTTCCTCCTTCTTTTGTGATCTCATCCCACACCTCTCTGGACTCAGATCTAAGCTCTGAGTGTTTCCTCCACCAACAGGCCCCCAGTCATGCTTTCTGATGTACCTGAAGTGCTGTAGTTCTGCCTGCTGAACTCTGGTCTTGCTCCACCACTCATCTCTGTTGATGCCCTGTTCCTTGTGCTCAGCATTCAGCCCTACCCCAGCTGCGTCATCTGCTTCCCAGTGCTGACTTAGTACATCTGCATATTGTGTATCCATTAAAATTCACAATTACTTGAAAGCAAAGTATTAATTTTCTAGAAGAGAACTCACTCCTAAGAATCAAAAGCTGTCTCTCCATTACCCTCTAGCGGTAGGAAGCAGGTAGTGTGCAGAACAACCCATGAGATGGTTATACCTGTAGATGTAAAGTAAGGGGTTTTGAAATACGTGTCCATTTCTCTAAAGACACCCTTTGACTAAAAATTGGGTATACGGAGTCTGAAATAAATTCCTACAGTCTAAAGTCTATGCTTGATGAGCTATAAGCTTGTACTTCTGCTAATAACTGTAGTGTATTAAAGAAATTCAATTACACCCTTCATACCAAACACTCCCAAACTCCCTGATCCACATTTCCCATTATGGAGAAAACCGAAGGAGAATGAGACATCTTCCTTCTGTAAGCAGTTTTTATTCTTACTCAGTTCACCCCAAAAGGGCCCATAGATGACAGTGAAACACACAAGGATTTTCACTAAAGGACATAAGTTGCTGTAATTTCAAATTGCTTTACCATCATGAAGTATTTGTAAAGCACTTCCAGTTTTGGAGGAGTTCTGGTGGTCAAGATGAAGGGTCAGTCCTGGTATTGTATCACACTGGACTTCTTCCAGCCTGCACAAGTGTGATGTATTCTCAATGTATGGTGAGAGAGAGACAAGTAACATCTCCATTTCTGGGGAATTTTTATTTCTTCTTTTGTGACCTCTCTTCTTTCTACCAGCCATGAAAAATTCAGCTCACCAGCAAGATCCGTCATCTGGAAGGCTTCGTAAGACTGGTCCCCAGTCTTCAGGTTGGCTGTTTTGACTCAAGTGCCCTGCTGTCTCCTCGAATCACTGCTAAATTAGCTGCCTTCTCTATGGCTGCTTCTGCAGAGAACCCTAACAGTTCACATACAGGGGAATTGTTCACTCATTTCCCACCCTAACCCCCTTAAAATCTACCCTCTTTTCTGCAGTTCACATCTGCTTTTAGTACAGAAAATTTGAGACCCACCGTAACAGAGGCATGGCTGCATGCTCCCTTTTTACACCATCCAAATGAATTTCTTCAAGGGGAAGCTTGTATTCCAACACTCTGCTTGATTTTTAAAGCATGTTCAGCTTTCAATCACTTCTGTTTCTCACAGGGAACCTTCACAACTCCCTTTCCTGTTCTGCAACCCACATCTTAAATCATGTATACAGTAAATACAGCCTAACAGCTTGGTTCCTTCACCTCTTTGTATCGCTAGTCCTCTCCATGAATGATCCTCACTGCAGTCAGTGAGATTACTCACTAATTAAGGAGAACTCTGTGCATGTGAGTAGCAAAAATTATGCATAATTACATGCAGTGGGTTTCATTTTTAGACTTTTGGGGGGGTTTCCTGCAGGACCTGAATCATCCACAATAACCATCACAGATGTCCTTGCCTGCCCCAATCTTGCAATACACCATAAGTATCATTTTGAAGACAGTCACACTCACTCCACAAGAACAACAGGTAATTAGGTTACCTTTGTTTAGATAATCCAGACTGCTCTTTCATTATCTAGGCTAAGACGTGCTGTGTACTATTTACCAGTATACAAACTCTGCCCCATAGCATTCCTTTGGATGTTGACCTGTTTTCAGAACAGGGAGCTGTATTAAACCTGCTCTACATTTAAAATTTTTTGTCTTTCTCTCCCTCAGTCCATTGGATTTATTCAGCATTTAAGTCTATGCTTGCCTGTTTCTGTTTTTCAGCAAAAGACAAAGACCAATGCAAATGTGAAAACCTTGTGACATTCCAGAACTACGCAACCAGTGAAGTAAGAAAACTCACACAGCGATATATCCTTTCTTATATATAAATCAAGAGGGATGGGTTAAAAGAAATTATAACTAGCAAGCATAAGCTGCCTTCAGTGGCACAGATCACTCTACTGTAATGAAAAGCTGAACTACTTCGCAGACACTGTTAATCTCCAAGAAGCAAGGCTCCTAAGACTTGAAACCTGTTTCTCCTTCATAGAAGGGATCAAATTATTAATATGGATCTTTTAATAATCTGTAACAATTACCACCTTCAGGATCAGCAAAGAAAGCACTGGTTAAAGTCAAGACCAATACTCTGCTTTGCTTTACTTCTTCAGATGTTAACAACATTCAGTAAGCAACAGGAACCATGAGATATTTCCCTTCGTAGCTGCTAGGTGAAGCACCAGAGGCAGGAAGGTGCGTAAGGTAAGATTCCCAGTGAAGAGGAAGGAGAGGACATGGGGTCTATTATTTTTGCATGAACAAATATGCACACAGAAAAAGAAGTGTAGATTGATAGATTCAAATTCCCAAAATTAAGCTTCACTACGAGGTTGCAATGCTACACTGAAATGCTGAAACTGCCTAACTTGCCTGCCAAGAACTCCACTATCAGGTGTGTGAGATGAGTGCTGCTCTTAAGCCAGCTCAGCCATCAACCACAGAAGCATTCATCCTGTGTCCCCTAATTTCCATCAGTAGTGTTCTTTGCAAGTCTGTCAGATTCCCCAAAATACAGATTTCAGCAACTGATAGACAATCAAATCACAGAGTGCTCTACAGTATGTTTGTCCACCAAGCCCGATTTAGTAGGTTCTCAAGAGTACCCCTACCAGCTCCGGCCTTATGTTGAGCTATTTTGTGCATCTCACCAGCCAGCCCCACTGTTATTTCCCATCTTCCCAAGAACCCTTTATTGGTAAGGCATCACATTTTGCTCATTTCATTAATTTTAAATAATTCCGTAAAGCAGAATTATTTCATAAAGGGGGGAGGGGTTGTGAATCTGTCACAGTGGCCAGGTAAACACCACACCTTCCCCTTCCCCCAATTCCCACTAGGACAGGGAAGAGGAAAGGAGGAATTAAAGCAAGAAAACTTGCAAGTCATCATAAAAAGAATTGTTCAAGAAGTGGAAGGACCAAGAAAACAAGTAATGCAAAGACAATTGCTTACCACCTCCCACGAACAGACTGATACCCAGCCATTTCCCAAGCAAAAGGTGACTAACCTTCCTAAACCCTCCTGATTTCCAGTTTTATTCCATGCTATGTGATGTCATGCTCCACAATACCTGACTGATTAGACAGCTGATGTTATTATTATTATTTTTTTTTAAATACTGCATATCATCATTAGCTCTTTCCTTAACTTTTGCCTACTGGAAGAAATGACAAAGAGAATGGAAGACTTGGAAAACAGGCTAAAATACTGACCAAAGCATCAAGTGTACACTACACTGTATATTTATACATACAAAGTTGGGAGAGCTATTTTGTTAAATCAGTTTAAAGTAAAGTAACAAACCCATGTCTCAAGTTAAATAAGAGTATTTTGGACTCCTGCATCTGTAATACTGTGTGTTCTGTCTTGCATTGATTGCAGATAAGAAATTTTTTTAAAAAGTTTTATATATAAACAATTTAGTAACTAGCAAAAAATCTAATTCAGTAGAACTAAACTGAAATAAGCTATGCAAAACATTAAAATGCTGTTATTTTTGATGTGAAACCTCCACGCTTTGAAGTATTTTTAAGGTATGAATTTATTTGGGTTGCTTTTCTGTTACTTCCCTCCTCCACTCACTCTGCTCCTATTTTGAGCACGCTGACTGTGCGCCTACGTGTAGCTGTATGTACGTGCATGTGTAAGAACAGAACAGTGGGATGGCATTCGCAGCAGTTAGATTTCAAACATTCTTTCCAACAAGTGCAGACTACTGAAATCGGTTGGAAATAATGAATTTATATTGTCTGTGTTGAAAATGCGATGAATGTAAATGAGCAAAGCAGGGAGTCTGCTGGCTCTCTTCTGCTACACTTTTACATTGACAGCATCACCAGAACCATTTCTTGAACTGACCTAAATCTGCGGTTTAATAGGTACAAGCACCAGCAATTCCTTCTTTGCTTTGACACATTGTTTTGGCCTCTTTACTGTCTGCAACCTGAAGTACACAACTTGATCTGTTCTGCTACAAAACCAAAGTAGTTGCAGCAAAATTAGATTAAATCATTGCAGACAAACTAATAAGTATGCACGTGTACAAAGCAACAAGCTTTAAAAGGTATTCTACGTTTTAGCATTCTTTGGCAAATAGAATGCAAGTTTTGTGAGACTGCTGGTACATACTGACTGTTGTTAAATGTTCCTTTCACTGAATGTCAGGAAAGTGCCAACACCCCATTTATTAGTCACTAATACTAAGGAACATCATGCAACTGTGATCTCACACAAAAAAAAGGATAAATGCAGAAAATGCCAACATCCTCAACAGTAACATATGTATATATTTTCTCTTGGAATGAATACACAGTAATTTGCATTAGTAGTTTGACTGATAAGGTGAAAAAAAAATACTAAAATTTATTCACACTTTCTAGTAAAGCCATAGGGATTCCCCAGCAACGTCCCAAATTTGCTACTGTGCCTCACATGATGACTTGTTTTCCCATTAGCACCCCAAAATCCAAAACCTAAGGGAGTCACAGCCTGTTGGGATCTGACACCGTGCTTACTGTGGTCAACTCCTACTCCACTTACCTTCTGAAGAGCCCCAACTCATACAGAAAGCAACAGGCAAGTTTTGTCCCGCCAATGTTACTTCTAACAGAACAAAAAACACAGTGGTGATAAAGAATCTTCGTTTATATAGTTTGTTCCCTAAAACCAAAAACGTATAATACAATACAAGTTTTTCTTAAAACAGATCTGTGACCAGTTTTATTGTAGAAAGAACACCATTACAGCATTTACTTCTCACTGGTTTGTTCTGGCATGCTTCTAATGATGTCAGAGTCACCTGTAAAACAAAAATACATCGTTACAAGAAGACCTACAGAAAGATCCATTTCCAGAAATAAGCAAAAAAAGAAAAGTAAAGATTCTACAAACAAAATGTAGAAACAATGTGGAGATAGTATTTATAAAAAAGTAATGCTGATGGTTGATAAAAGTATTTTTAACTGCATTTTTGCTAATTGATACGCAGTATGGTTATGATAATTATATACTTGTCACTAGCATTTACAAAGCCAGTACTAGAGAAACAATCTAGTCCTGGAGGACACAATGCACAGCTTTAATATAGCGAATGTCTAGCCTCCCCTGATCACGAGAATATCAGGACAGCGAGAATATTCGCATAGCACTACACAGCAGGAAGTTTCAGGTGCAGTTCTTTATCTTACAGTTAGCTTAACATAAAGCTCTTAATATATGTCAGCCAAAAAAATAAACCTAAATGCAGTGTTTTTAAAAACAAAGTTTTACCTATTATTTTTATACAAACAAGCTAAATAAAGGTTTCTAAAGAAACAGTGAACTCAAACTGATGTCACTTGGGGAACATTTGATCAAAGTTAAAAATCATTAAATCCATATGTATGCATTCAATTAAGATACCTTCCATTGTTCTGTTTGACCAAGAGTTAATTAGATTCTTCTCTAGAAGACTCAGGAAATAAGATAGGAAGTCCCCTAATTAGCAGACTCTACAAGGAACTTGAACAACTCTGAACAAAGAGTGCTACCAAGCCATAGCAATTACACACCAATTTACAGTTTTATCACTTAATATGATTTTCAGCTCTGGTACCGGACTAGTATCCACTTGCATGTTGCTTTTTCTTTTATAGTTCACCCTGGGAAACAAGACAACTCATAACCCAGCAATTTGTTTTGCTGAGATCCTTTGTCTTGGATTAACGAAGTTCAAACCCAATTGATACAGAGAGCAGGTGACACAAGCTCATGTCCTAGCAGTGGTCTTAGACACATGTCACATTAAGTTGCTTCCCAGCCACTGAAAGAAACCTCATTACAGTGACAGGTAAGCTCCCAAGGTTTAACAGTGAACGGAGCTATATGCAAATGTAAGGAAGAGCAACTAAGTTCTAAGAACCTAGGACTCTATAAACAGAATACTAGGCAGAAGAAATTGAGAATGAAGCCCAATGGAAGTTACAACAAAGCTACATCACACCTGCATGTTACATACTAGTGAGTAGCAGTGCTTGGAGAACAAAGGAACCACTGATACACACCCGTCTGGGTCATTATACAGCAGCAGACACGTACCTGGGTCAATGATGGCCAGCGTGCACACTCTGTAGTATTTGCCACAGGCTGTACCCAACTCAATGTTGTTGCCGCTGTAATGGTGGACACCGGTCTTTGCGAGCATAGCGTAGTACTCAATCTCTGATTTTCTGAGATTCAAAAACTTGGTATTAAAGCACTGACAAACAATTCTGATCAACCATAATACACCAGAAGCAGGGCTAACTCCAACTGACACTTAAACCCTACAGTTTTCCTTCCCTCCCAGAAAAAATCATCTTCTTGCAAGCAAATGTAACAGTGCCCTATGTTAATTCTGCATCTACACTTTCTTTAACCTGTCAGATACTCCTTAATGACAAAAAAGGGCCCCAAAAATTCAACAAGGAACATGTCAGGAGATGGAAACCACTAAAGACTTTGTTCTCAAAAGAATTATTTCTACGGCCAGGAGCTTAAAGTTATAACTTAACTTTGACAGCATTTTTTTTATGCTTCAAATATATTTTATATCAGTGTCAACTACCAGTTTTTCCTACCTGTAAAATTATTTCCCAATATATTACTTTGAAAAAGCAGGGACTGGGTCACACTACACTTTCAGTGAACGCTATCACGGTGTGAAAAAACTTACAGTATATTCTCTAATGTGAACTCTTGGTATTAGAAACCTAAAAAACAACTGGGAAGAATTTTAATGCGTCCAGACCTGAAATTTGTATACACCAAACAACCCACCATGTTTAATTCATAGCAGCAAGGAACAGGCCAACAAGCTACTCTGTATTACCAATTCACATGAAGCACATGCTGTATTTATACAAAGCACTTGCCTTAGTTTAAAAAAAGTAATAATTCACACATCTGCTTACCTCAAAGCCGGGCAGTTGTTGGCGAGGATGACCAGCTTGGCTTTGCCCTGCCGGATCATTTTCAGAGTCTGTTTGTAGCCTAGCACATATTTACCACTTTTCATAACCAGCTGAAGCCTAGAGTTTATGGACTCCAGGGACTTTTTCTAAAGAAAAAAAAAAAAGCACAAAGCTTTATCATATGCTACTTTGCCTTTCACAAAACGGCATAAGACTTAAGGTGAAGAAATTTCAACTACCAGCAATCTTTTCATTATATATTATTTGGAACGTGGAATAAAGAGCCAGCACAGTATATGATTGTGGGTAAGAAGGATGCTTGCCCAACTTTATCAAAGTACCTCTTACCAGTTACACAGGAAGAAAGCATTACTGGTGCTGCCTACGTTAATCAACTGCATCGTGGTGTAAGCAACGTGCCTTTGCAAAGCTCAGCCAAGTTGAATCGATATCCATACCACCTCCACCCTGCAAAGCTGAGCTAGGCTCGGCGTGTGGCACTTCCCAGGGCACGTGTTGACAGCATTGAGCAGACAGGCAAAGCCAAGCAACCGCATGCTAAACGAGCAGCCCCCCCAACAGGAGAACGTGGTGCTCATGCAACAGCGAATGCCACCACCTATGAAGAAACCCGTATTTGCTAGAATAGACTTGAAATCATAGAAAAAAGATAGCAGAAACACAAAGTTTGAGCTCCACAGCCCTACCACCCACACCAGGACCACAGCACCAGCTCCCCTTTCCTCCCCATAGCACAGGGGCCCTGTGAGCAACCTGGGATGCCCTGGGGGAAAGCCGAGCCCGCAAGAACCGGCCTCAGGCCGTGCCCCCCAGAGGCCCCCAAAGTCCCCTCAGAACCCCCCCGGGTCCCCTCAGAGGCCCGGCCGCCGCCTCACGCGGCCACGCGGCGGCCGGCCGCCACTCACCGTCTTCTTGGCGGCCACCATGTCGCTGGCTGGCGTCGGCTGGGGGGGGAACTGGAACACACAGAGGTCGACCGGGGGTCGGGTTAGCGCCCGTTAGCGGCCCGCCGAGCCCCCCCGCGCCGCCCGGCCCCGGCCCCACTCACCGCTGAGGCGCCGCCAAGATGGCCGCCGAGAGCCAAAGGAAGGAGCCGCGGCACGCGCCGCCTCTCCCCGCCGCGCCAACTCTCGCGAGAGGCGCGAACGCCCGACAGCCCCGCCCCGGCCCCGCCCGACGGCTGTCAATCATCCCCCGCGCGGCTCCCATTGGCTTAGAGCGGTCAGGGGGCGGGGAGAGGGGGAGGGCACGTGAGGGGGATGCTCTGGGAAATGGCGGCCGCGCCTCAGCGGCCGGGTGGGGGGCTTTTGCACGCTCGCTCTCCTCGTCGTGTCCCTCATCCCCAGCGCCTTACGGTGCCCTGTGCATCACGGAGCAGTTTTAAACGCCTCTGTTTTTCCCCTCGCAGCCTCCGGGAGGCTTCAGGCGCCGCTCAAGGAGGCACAGTGCAGAGGAGAGGCCCAGGCGGCCTGCGTTTCCCTGTGAGGAAGGGGAAGGGACAGTGTGGGCTTTGGAAACAACTCTTTGAAAATACCTTTCTGAGCACGCACTACTGGAGAATACAGCTGGGATGTGAGAAAGTTACAGCTGTCACAGTGTTGTCTGTAGGTTCGTGCCCAGTACAACCTGCCAATAAGCACACAGAGTCAGAATCCACACAAAGGTCTTTTACTTAAAAGCTTTGGGACTACAGCAGGTCCCGTGGCGCTGCCTGGCATGGGATGATCGTAGAATCATAGAATCATTAGGGTTGGAAAAGACCTCCAAGATCATCTGGTCCAACCATCACCCTACCACCAATGTCACCCACTGAACCATGTCCCCAAGCACCACGTCCAACCTCTCCTTGACACCCCCAAGGGACAGTGACTCCATGATAGATTATCACCCCACAGATTTCCTTCTTCCTTACATTTCAAATACCAGCAAGCCACCGCGCACTGTAGCACCAAAAATATTTAAACAAGACCATCAGTTTTATAAGATGTTCCAGAGTAGCATAGAAAGTGGGGAGAAGCAGGCAGCATGGGTTCAGGTGATGCCTGCCTGGACACTGTGGGGACTGAGGGAGCTGGGGTGTTATTTTGGGGTGTTCCCTTGTGAAACCCTGCAGCAGCTGAGAGGCCCAGTCTGTCACAGAGGGCTGGCCCAGGACGCTCAGGGATGAGCCCAAGTCTCTGTACTCTCCACAGCACTTTGTCTAGGAGCAGATGCTTTCTCTGTCCAGTCTGACACCTTCCATACCAATGCTCACTGCATTTCAACAGCACCCTAAGGACTGATGGTATACCGGAGAAGGCATCCACCATCACGGATCTTTGGCACCTCTGCATGCCCAACCCATCTCTGATGCAGAGGTGATACTGGCTATGCTACCTCTAAATCTACAGATCAGCTGAATCATGCCTCGTCCACATTCAACCCTCTTCAAAATTATACCGTTCGCTGATAGGAACATCAGGACAGGGAAGTCTGCTTGCAGTACAGTAGCTCTTCTGCTGGTATGACTTCATACACCTAGGACATACTGCATCATGTTCGTCTCAACGTATGTTTTATGGTGAAATTACAAAACTAGCATAAAATCATTTATAGATTTGCCTAGGTTGGCATAAGCATGGGAGAGCACTGTATTTGTTGGCTTTTGGAAGTTTGATGCCTTTGTCAATGTGGGTTATGTAGCAACATACTGAAAAGCAAAGCCAAAACATACTGGAATCAGTTACAGTAGGATGCTTATGTGAATATACTTTATTTTGATTAAGAAAGGAATTAATTTCTGGAAATATATTGAATGCTTTTCTACTGGCATGAATGCCTTCACACAAGTTTTTTTTTTTTTTTTGGTATATAGTCACACAGCTTATCAAATATTTACAAAAATAAAACCTTTTCAGTGGGAAGCAGCCTTTGGTCAAAATGCACACCATCATCCCAATCCTGTGTAGAAACTAGGTGACAACTTCAATTTTTAGCAGACCAGTTTAAGAACCTAGATAAAAATCCAACCTGCTAACATTAAGATGAAAATGAAATAAAGGTATATAAGGGGAAAAAATCACCAAATTCAGCTGACCTTAAATTTAACAACAGAAACTCAAATATTGGTCTACCACTAGTTGAAAAGTCCTATGGGAATAATTACTAGATTAAGCACATATAAATAGTATATGTACTATTTAAGTCATAATAAAAAAAATACATTTTGATGGCTTCCCGTAATCCAATTTCACTTTTTGAAACAAGTTCATTTTTAGCCCTTTACAGAGCATAATTAAACTAATCTTGAAGCATATTTCTAACTTTTATTTGGCAGCTGTGTCTCATTCTTTTCTTGTTCCTCTAATTCTTTGTGTCCCAACACTCAGGTGCACTGCTGTTATTCCTACAGCCTAGTTGTACCTTCTCTTAATTCTTTAAATTTTTACCTAGTTGTCTGTGGTCATCTCAAATATTCTTCTTGCAATTTGAAATTACTCACAAGTGACTGTAAAACTCAGTGGGCCTAGTGAATTCCTCAGTGCAGTTGTTTGAGTATGCCAAGTCTTAATGGTATCTTGCAAAATCTGGGAGTCCTGCACAGCTCCTGAAGAGGGAGCTGTTTGTAAGGGTACTCTCTGCAACCTCAGCTCAAATAAGGAGAAAACGTAGTACTTCCCTTAAAAGCTTGTAAACTAGTTCTTTCCAGTGATATGTTTTTACAGAAAACAAACAAAGAAATGCCTTTCTGAAAGAACTTTCTGTCAGAAACCAGTCACTGGGACCCAAACTGTGACACTAATTCTGGATATGTGGGGAAATAGAGTCAGAAATAGGCCTTTGCACTTGTCCCTCACACCCCAAATCTCCCTTCTGTGGTCATACAGGCATCTTCTGAGAGTCTGTGGTTCATAAAATGTCTCTCATAAAGGCAAAGGGCTGTCTCAAGTCAGATGAAGTCAACACTAGTAGTAAGAGAAGGCTTTGGCCCCTTGAAAATTCCTTAAACAATATTACATGGCCACTAAAAATCAGTCAGCAGCTTGAGTGCATGTGCGTTTACGCTGCACTGTTCCGGAATCAAAGCATGGGGAGGGCACTGAGGCTGCATTTGGCACACAGGCCAAGTGCTGTTCCCTCTGCAAGGGTGCTGTGCTTCCCTCCATGATTAGGCCATGTTACAGCAGAAATAAAAGAAGGTGACAGAAGTAGCAGATGCCACCATTTCCAACAACAACAACAACAAGTTTCAAGGTGAAGAGAACCAGGGAGCAGCTGCCAATGTCAGGAAAAACATCATTACTTCTCCCATCAAGGTCTTCCTGCCCTAAAGGAGCCATCACAGAGACATCCATCCCTCCTGCTTGCCCCAGTGGCCAAGCTGGGCCAGAAAGATCAACTTCTTCAGGGGTGAAGCTGGTCTTTTTTTATGGTGAGGGTGACAGAGCACTGCAATATGCTGCCCAGGGGGGTTGTGGAGTCTCCTTCTCTGGAGACTTTGTAAACCTGCCTGGATGTGTTCCTGTGTGACCTGATGTAGGTGTTCCTGCTCCAGCAGGAGGATTGGACAAGATGATCTTTCAAGGTCCCTTCCAATCCCTAATTCTCTGTGATTCTGTGGTTCTGTGAGGTCTCTCACCACCTTCCTCTTGTGTGTATGTAATCAGGTTCTGTAAGAAGACACCAGTTAAAGGTATTTGGAGGCATAAATTAGGAGCATGAAAGACATAGGAGAGAAGTTGCTGGTGGAACACTGGCATAGCTAAAAAAATGAAGAGGAGCTTCATCATTCGTGACCTGGAGGAAAATGCAACAAACTCAGCATGTGAGAAATCCTAAGTGATCTAGAAGATGAAAAATGTGCAAGATCATTAAAACAAAACCAAACAAAAAAAAAACACAACTAATTTCCTTTGAGTCTGGACACGCGATCACAAATTACTGAGTCATGGCGGGATTGACAGTCTAATTGTCCTGCTTTGGCTGGGATCATAATTTCATAATACATCAGCTTCAGTAGAGATGGCAGCTAAAGGAGTTCCCACCCTGAGCCTTTTTTTTTTTTTTCCAGAGTTGTTTTTTACTTGAGCCAGTGATTCATTTCATAATGCCATCTCAGCTGTACTGACACAGGCCATGGGATGACAGGTCCTGCTGTGGGTGGGAATGAGCTGGGACCTGGGGAGGAGAGAGGCAAAAGGCAAGGCAAGAAGCTCCTTAGGCTGCATCACCGACGGCCAAAACTATGGCATAAGCAGAATGTGTACAGGCTTGAGGAAAGCCAGGCAAGTAAACAGCTTTTGCTTCACAGTGGGGGCTGGCTAGGATCATGGATGTGGTCTCTTGCAAGTTCAGCTGCAAGCAGTAGGTACTGACTGTACTCTGCAAAGGCACATGCATTTCTGCAGAGAAATCCCAAAGCAACTTTCTCCCCACGCTGTAGAACTTCAGACATTGTCCCTTCAAATGCAACAGTAATAACACCATCGTTGGCTTACTAACAGAGGAGTCTCCCTCCCTGATCACCTAAAAATTACATGTAATCCTATGACAGTAAGAAGAAAAGAAAAGTGCACTAATTATGTATGCTATTGCAGACAATGTATGATCAAGTGGGAGGAAGTAATGGAAAGAACTTACGTGAATGAAGAAAGATAGATACTGAAGTCTGAAAAACAAGTGGTACATGGATACTATTTGGCATAGCCTGGGATGGATCATTCTGTTAAATTCCTCTGAACTCTGTTTTTTATAAAGCTGAACCAGCAGCTGCTGCTGATCTTTAGAGAAAGTGTGCATCTCCCTAACAGCCTGGGACTCGTGTGGCCTCTGCGGACATGCAGCACAGAGGAAGGACTGAAGCTGTACCCCTGCTTGCCCCCGTTCCCTGCACTTGAGCTGGGAATGGGTAGAGCTCACAACTTGCTGCTTGTCAGAGCTGCTGGGTGACTGATGGGATCGACCTTTTACCAGCAGAGAACTGGGAAATTTTGTGTGATGCAATTCAGGGGTGGGCTTTGAAGTCATAACCTCTTCTAAACCCACCGCAAGGCTGAGGCTGTGTATCTTTAGCTGTGCTTCAAGTGCCAGAAGTCACATTCCAGCCCTGAAAGACAAGATCCAATTCGAAAAAGGAGATTGACCATTTGAAAAGCTAGGCCCACCCCTTTATTTCACCAATATGACTAACACATACTATTTTGATAGGATACAATATATAATTTCATAATAATGTATACAATAAAAATGCAACATACGCAAAACCATAATCCTTTCTTATACTTCAGTCCCATTAAATTCTCTGCACAATTATGTAACAACTTTGTGTGAACACCTGCATCCATTATTTTCTCTTTTTGCACTTGTCAGGGCTATTAAAAGTGACAGACCGTGTTCTCTGACAATAATCACATTTACAGCAAATGCAAACATGTTCATTCAATTTTCACAGGGTCGTGCACTGAACTATCCCCTTCATTGTCAGGCAAACAAACACAGCTCTTCGTTTCAGACCATTGGGAATTTGGAACCCAAGTAATGTATGGGTCTCTTGAATCAGCATTCAAATCTCTTCCCAGCCATCCTTCCATTCCAATGACTTTACTTTGAGGAAGGAAGGAAGGAAGGAAGGAAGGAAGGAAGGAAGGAAGGAAGGAAGGAAGGAAGGAAGGAAGGAAGGAAGGAAGGAAGGAAGGAAGGAAGGAAGGAAGGAAGGAAGGAAGGAAGGAAGGAAGGAAGGAAATGAGCTTTTGGTAAGTAAAAAGATGCTAAGCAGTGCACGCATGTGTGTATACATGTATATAGCTACATACATATATAAATATATTCATATATATATGTATAGCTATCTTGGAGTGCCAGTACAAGAAGATATTTACCCTTTCTAAGGGCCAAAGTGTTCAGAAATCCAGAGATACAGATTTCTAAAAATAGTAGGTAGTCTGATAAGAAGACCTTCAGATTCTCTTTTTTCCTAGAAAGCACGAGGTACATCTTAGAAGCTAAGTTTCGAGGTCATTGCCATCCCAGGCAAAATAAAAAGCTGTGTTTCAGAAGGCAGTTTCCTGCAGGTCACAAATCATCATCACAGAGCAGCTGTAAATGGAGCTACACAGATGTGCCTCAGTGGAAAATTTGGCCTGAATTGTCTAGCACAATAAACTCTAGGATATTTTATTCTGTAAAGAATAGCCAAAGAATTGAGAAAAGGAGTCATAGTTTAAAAAAGAATACTCCATATTAATATCACACTTTGAAAAGTCTACTGTGATATGGTAAGTCCCAGGCTGTGGGTATATATTTTCAGGGATCAGAAAGTAGACATAAATTTACTAGTTGGAGTAGGACTCTTGTCCAAAATATTCAAAATTATGAACAGCCAGTGAGATCCAGAATGAGCTAAAGGAATTTGACCATGTGGCACTGATCTGTGGAACTTAAAAGTTGCCAGGGCCTTACAAAGGTTGCTTATGGAAGTGCATTTTTACCTGAGTAAATAGAACATAGGTATTCCTTGCTTTGCCTCTGGAGATATGGCTATCACTGAACGCTCACAGTTTACCTTTTATTTTAATTTCCCTGTATATATTTCAGAATAAAATAAAATGTTTTCCTTTATAAAAATGACTCATTCAAGATGATTGTTTGGTTTGTGTAGTGCTAATGGTAATTTTCTGGCTATTTGGCTACTGCGCTCCTTTAGGGAAGCACCAGGGTGGTTCAGGTTAGAGATGGCAGGAAACCTGTGCAGAGGCGCCCTGTCCAGGGGAGAGCTGTGAAGCATTTCCAGTCTGCCAACATCATGCTGGGTCACTCGCAGTGATATTTTTGGGACTGCCCAGAGGCTGTGGTGTCTCCTCCTTGGAGCCCTTCAGCAGCCGCCTGGACGTGGTGCTGGGCACCCTGCTCTGGGTGTCCCTGCTTGGGCACGGGTGGCACCGGGTGGCTCCAGAGGGCCCTGCTGGCCTCAGCATCTCTGGGATCATTGATTCACAGATCAGCATGGTCTCTGTCTGTCTGATATCCTTATAAAGACCCTGGACCCTCCTACCTGGCAGATGGGTCCCCATATGGGTCTGCTAGCCCGGCTCAAAGTGTGCCAGCAAGTTTTAGAGACGCAGGATTAAATTCACCAGACTTCCAGCTGCTGTCACTCAGGAAAAATCGCTAAGGGAAGGAATCCCTGCGCTTAAACCTCTCTGCTATTCCCAGCATTTCATCCACAGCCCCTAGAGGAACTGCTGCAAGCCCACAAGTCCCAGCCACCTCCTCACCCCCCCCGGCTCCATCTCGCTGCTCTGCCCAGCGGCAATTTCAGCCCCTCCTCGCCCTGTCCCCCCCCCGCCCCAGCACCCAGCCCCAGCACCGCCCGCCCCCTTGGAGCTGGGAAGAGGCTCCAGCGCCATGGGCTGCTCCAGCAGCGCCCGCAGCCGGCCCCAAGAGCACCCCACTGGCACCGGGGAGCCTCTGCGGGGTGAGCTGGGCTAGGGGACAAGGTGGGGGGCAATAGGGGCAAGGGGCATGGGGGTGTCGGTCTCTGGGGCACGGGATGCTCACCGTTTCCCACAGGTGCTGCGGAAAACCCGAGGGGCTCTTAAGAGCTCTTAAGAGCCCCTCAGGTTTTCCATAACACCTTACAAAAATTCCATAATCCCTCACAAATCCCATGCTTGGGATCTCTCCCACCCCCCTTATAATAATAAGGGGGTTGGGGAGCTCTCACTGTAAGAACCCAAACACTGCAGGTAGCGATGCCGAGCTCTCCAAAAGGGTACGTCCTGGGGATGCACACAGGTTGTTTGCTTTTCATTTTGCTGCGTTTCTTTCCCGTATTCTCGAGTTTATCCTTCTGTTACTGTTATTCTGTCTGCAGCATCCAAGTTTTCCGTGTGTATTTATTTTCTGTTTCTTGCCTCGCAATATTATGGTTTGTTGTGATTGCAGGGGTGCTAGCAGGTTGCATGGGGCGAGTGCTGTGTGTGCCACTATAGAGACAGCATACAGGCAGCCTTATGGAAAATATCATCAGAAATCTTTTCATATTGTACCTGCTGTCTTGTTCACCTGGTCAATGTACTGAATTCCTCTGCCTTTTTGTCCTCTAGCTGAAAGATATTAATGCTTTGTGCAGGAATGCTGAAAGGCTCAGGGAAATAACTGAAGTTATTTGTTCTGAGTACCTCAAGAATTCTGTCTAAAGTCTTATTCATGTTAGTATAATAATTTAAAGTCCTGAATACATAAGCTAATGTCATGATAATGTGTAATTAATTGTAATTACATCTGAAATACTTCAATTATTTGGACTCTTATTACCAGCCAGATATGTTAGTTGTTTTCTAATTTAATTTAGTGGGAGAAGAGAATTTGAAATAAACTTCTCTGAATGTGCCAGTGGAAAAAATGTATTTCGTTTAATTCCATTGATGTATAACTCAGAAAAATTTGAGGCTCTTTCAAAAGGAAAGAAAGAAGGCAAAGGTAAAATATTGTACCTGCGGTTCACTTAAATTCAATGTGCTTTTCACTGCTCCTCCAGCTGAAATTGCCTATCAGGGAAAATAAAAATTATAAATTATGAACAAAACAAAAACGATAGTTTATAAACAAAACAATAAGGCATCCTAAGAATGCTGACTGCCACACAATTTTCATTCCTGTTGCAGATGAAGGTATTGAACAGATTACCAGGGGGGTTCATTTTTTCCGTATTAGAGAATTCTTTGCATTTAATTGAGAGCAGAAGAATGCTTCAAGGCTTTCCAGCAGTGCAAGTTTCACATTGCATGGGAGTATTTTATAATACAATTTATAAAAAATGTCTTGATGAAGAGAGGACCAGCTGATGTTTATAGGAGCTGCAGGAAATTCCCAGTAATTTTTTACTGTTTTTGTGGAGTTAAGTTTCTGTTACTGGTAGAAACAGCAGTTTTCATGTCTCATTTATTTCTGCCTGTGGGTTTTCTATGATCCCTGTCCACCTGTAGTAAGCAAAATGAAGGCATGAGAAGTGTATAAAGGGATAAAAAATAACACGTGAAAAGATCAAGCCTCTTGTCTGTTGGCATAGGTAGTTGCTGCTTAGGGTAGCCAATGTAAGACTCTTCGAGGTGTGTGGCTCTGACAAGATGCTGGGGACCCAGAAGCTGTCGGGACTTGAACAGTGGATGGACACTTGTGCTCTCACTGATCCCTTTGGAAAATATGGGCCATAAGCCTAAAATCACCAGAACTCTGTGCACAGAAGGAGCCTTTCTTGTGAAACACTGCGAGCAGGCTCTTGCCAAGTTTAAGGTTTATTTACTGTTACTTTGACTAGCTATCTGTTTGCAGAAAGTGATTCCACATTGACTTTCATGTTAGGGAAAGTTGTACCTAGCAGATAAGGTGTGATAGAGATCTTGAGAAGGTAAACGGGGTAACACATTTGCTGTATCCTGTATCACAAGAGCTGTGTCATTTGATGAAATTACTCATAGCAGGCTTAAAAAGAGCAGCAATGTGCTTTGTGAAACCCTCTACCCACGGAGAAAGGACGCTGACTTACGCAGTTCATCCTACCTCCTTTTCTTTGTGTTGTGTTATACATAACCGTACCTCTACATAGCCACAAATCCGAGGTGTGTAAATGGGCCTTTCATTGACTTTGTGTTCTTCTTGTGCCTTTAAGAGATGTTGAAAACCCTGTCTACTCCTTTCTTTAAACCACAACCTCAAATTCTTAGAATTTTCACATTTTTTGTTCTTAAAATATTACTGGGTGGAAAAAATCACACGGAGGAGTTAAGCTGACAGGTTGAGCTATTGTGTGATCGTGCTGTAACACGCGTAATCCCCATGCAATACTATAAGCAGACCATAACACAGCACATTGCAATACACTAATAACATTTCCAACAAACACATCGAAGACCTGGGGTTCTACCCTGTGGCTGTCAGCCTTGCTGACACCCAGCTGGCACACAGATTAATTACATTGCCAGTAATGAGGACTAAGACCACAAAAGCAGCTCAGCGCCTGCTCCCTTCTGACTGCTGCTGTAGGTGCTAAATGGTCAGAAAAGGACATCTGAAGTCACCTGTCTCTGAGGGAGTGCGAGGCTCTGAATTTTGAGTGGAGGGAGATGGCTGGACCCAGCTGGAGCTGCTGTTGGCGACTTGCTCCTTGCCAGTGTCCTACCTGATTTGCTTGAATGCCTCCAAAAAAATGAGATGTATTACATTTTTCTTCACTGTGTTTGCCTGTGTATAAGAAAAAACATACAGTTCTGCTCGGTCTTTGATACTACAATAACGATTTTCCCCCAAAATGCAATTCATCCAGATCTTGCAATTATTACCTAAACAAATTTTGTGCATGACCTCCCAGTGTTTCCATCCTGACATTCCTTCTGACAAGGTCAAGTACAAGCTCGTGTCAAAATGAATTTAATCAGAAAGGGATTAAATCAGTCTGATAGGTAGGTATAGCTCAATTTGTGTCTTCAACTTTCATCCTTAAATGCCTGTCAGAGTAATTTCACCATGTCTTTGTTCATAAATTTTGTCTGCCAGAAAGGCCCATTGCTTTAAGTGAGTTGATGAGAGATGAAAGGAGCGGAAGTTTTCTTGAGGTGAGCCTTCCTGTTGTCGAATGGTTTGTTGGACAAAGGAATATAAATAGTAACTTAATATTAAACAAACAAACAAACAGAGTCATCCTGCAGGAGCAGCAGCCCGGGTGAGCAAGTATTGTCTGTAGGTGTGAGCTCTTTGACAGGTACTGCTTGTGTGGCCCAGTCCCCGCTGAGTCTAGGCCTTATCTAACCTAAATGGCCACTCATCCATTATCTGTAACTCATCTTTCTTTTCCTTGCTGTGTCTAACAGCATCACCAGGTGAGAACACCCCAACCGCAGACGACTACGAGACCATAGCTGACCAAACCCAGCTGGGCCTGGCAGAGGTGGTGAGTCTCGCCTCTGAGGAGACCAACCCAGGCGAGTGCCTGCCAGGGGACAAAGATGAGGCTGTGAGCCCAGCTGAGGAGGAGAAGATCAGTTCGGTTCAGGACAGGGAGGAGCCGGAGGGCACAGAGCCGCTGCCTGTGGGGTCGGAGGAGAGCTCTGAGCTGCCGTCTGTGTGGCGAGAGGAGAGCACAGAGCCTTCACCACCACCAACGCCGGCAGAAGATGCTGGGTCACCGCCGCCAGACCCGTCGGAGGACAGTGGGCTGGTAGAGGGCAGTGACAGCTCTGTAGTGGAAATCGTCAACAAAGTGCATGTTACTGAAGAGGACCACTTCATTGAGGGTAATATTTGTGCTTTTGTAAATCCGGGAGACCAAATTCTGCCTCCAGAGACACATCAGGGGGGTCCTTTGAATTTAGGGAGAGCCTCACGTGAGCTTCTGAAGTCAGAATTTGGCCCACAGAGTCTGTACGATGTAGAGCATAATAAGGCACGGGTGGGGAAGCCTCAGACTCACAAGTCCAAGCTGTAATAAATTCAATCAGCATTTACAGCCATTCTCTCTGCTATTTCATTTCACAACCTTTGTGTTCTTAGCGGGTAAGATGCCCCACCATATCCCTCTTTCAATGTTGTGTTTCTGTGTAGCTCAGACACAATGCTTTGTATTTGCAGAGTCCAAAGGCTCTATTCCTTAGCTACCTGGGTTAACTCTAAAGCAACGTCCCTGTGCACATGAAGTTGGGGGCTGGATGTCTATCTGTAGAGGAAAAAGCAGTTCTTAGATGCACCCTTGGCATATCCAGTCTGTCCTAAACAAGCTACTAAACAAGCAGAATAGAGACAACGTTGGAGGGACATGGGGCTGGGCTTTCAAAAGCCCCTTGGAGATGACCAGCTTGGGACAAAGGCTGCGTGCCTGAGGCAGAAGGGATCTCCACTGCACCAGGCAGCTGTCAGAGGGACCTTTAGCGGGAGCTATGCCCATTGCCAAAGATTGCAGGCTGTACTCTGCTTTGGGTTAATGCCCCCAGGACGTGTGTCTCTGTCTGTACATGCAGAAGGTGAACACCTCACAGGAGGAATCAGCTTTCTCCTAAATGGTACAAAGCAGCTCACTGAGGAATTGGATACTTCCTTGGGGAGCAGTTCTTCAGGGAATAAGCAGGTGAAGCACATGAGAGGCATTTGTCTGCAAGGAAATGAGATATCAGCAGCCTTCTTCACTCCACATTTGCCCTGAAGAAGTCCAAAATGCAGAAGGACTTCTCTATGGGATGCCCAGAAGCCATTGCATTCACTGCCTCTTAGCCCTGTGGCTTTGCTGTGCACACACATGAAATGGCTACATAAATCCGATTCCCAGTAGCTGAAGATGGGCATTGGCTTGTCCTCTCCCGTGTCTCTTTGTAAAAGAATTTTGAGGTTCTCTTCTAGATAAAATGGAGATCTATCACTTGGAATAAAGTCTTGTTTTATACAAGCAGTAAATGACTAGATGCTCACCTCCAAAACACAGAGTCACACCTGGCTGAAAACTCCAGTGTCCATTAATCACCATCTATAAGCTTTGTGGTGCAGCACTGGGGGCAGAACAGCACCCCCTGAATGATGTAGTGGGATCTCCTTTACATGAAATCATGCTCACAACTGGACTGGTGATAAGTTATTGGGTTTTGTCCACTGAGCTTTCCATGCTGCTTGAAGGGCGAGCAAGCAATGTTTTGGGGAAAAGAGTTTTCCTCTTATTTGTACTAAGGTAGAAGTAATATTCCAGTGTCTTAACTTGCATACATTTTCTTCCCATGAGGTACGTGATAAAGAAGGAACTTTTCTTTTTTTATGCTGTGGTGCATAAGGACTTTTGTTTTCCTTTAGTAGCTATGTGAGTAGATTAATTATGTAGTAGCTTCCCCGCTGCACAGTTTGAGCCAGCATGGCATGTTACTGTTTTGTTCCAACTGCAAATAAAACTGCACACATGTTAAAAAAATCCATTACCTAGGAAAATTAATTTGAATAGTCATCATGCTTATGATGTATATTGAATAGAGTGTCAAGGGCACTTTATTAAAGTGTCAGGAGGATTTCACAGGCATGAGGCATGTGTGTACCTGGATGATGGGAAACGATGGGGAGCATCCTGGTTGATCCGTTCAGCTGATACCTCCACACTGTGCCCTTGTAAAGGGCACTGGAGAGCTGAAGGAGCAAAATCAGGTGTGCAGGAAGGAGCTGGGGCCTGTGGTGCTTTTTCAGTGGATCCTAATTTGATCTCCATGGTTACTGTTCCCAGGTGAGACGGGAGAACAGGTGGAAACTGAGCTGCTCAGTGAGATAGTAAGTGGAGGGCCTGAAACAAAAGAAGAAGAAACAGGAGAAGCTGTGGATGGTGCAGCAGCAACAGAGATAGGTATGTTGACAGAGGAGGGAAGGACTGCATGGGTTATTGCTTAGGAGACAGAAAAGCTCTGCTGTCCTCAGTGGGGTACAGCTGCTGCTTTTTGCAGTTTAAGACAAGAAAGAGGGAGGGACATAAATATTTTTATTAATGTTAAGAGATATTTTTGCTTTTTGCTAAAGACACTACCACTCTTTTCATGGGTCATCATATAATATATGAGTCTTACCAGTGATATATTTTCCCTGTTTGGAAAGAATGCTAGATTGTAGCACACAGTCTTGGAAAACAGAAACCAATGTTAAAATCATGACTCTGCTCATTATTATTTGCCAAGCTTGTTTTTATGGGTTAATGCCTTAACACCGCTGTGCGATTTCCATCCTGTGCTGGACATTCATTTTAGATCCCCTTATTCTCATTACCAGCTGAAATCAGCAGTGTAGCACTGGGGTGAAAGCACGTTGCACAGTAAATGCAGTCACATGGTGGGAAGGAAAAAAAAACGGGCAAATAAATTGCCTTCAGAGAATTACAAAACCAGTTAAGAGAAGAAGGTGAGGGAACCGGACTAAGCCTCCATCAGACTTTGAAATTACATTCACATTTTCATCATCACAGTATTTCTGCAAAAGTTATTTCTCCTTTCTCAATATTCACTGAGTACCCTACACTCAGAAGTGTTGCTGGGCAGGTCCAGAAATGTGCATTTGAAAGCGCTTTGCAGGCCAGCTTCTGTGGCTGGTGGAGAAAGACACATTTGCACCAACTGTAGCAACCCAGCATGTTCCGCTTGCCACGGGATTCAGGAAAACATTTTTCGGCATGAACATCGCAGCCTAGAAGATCAGTAGGTTGCTGGCCAAACAGTTTGGCCCAAGCATACATGCCTTCATGACCTTCTGATTATTCAAGTAGAATTAGATACGTAGTGACTAAAAAATGCACTCACCTCCTTGTTACTTCTCATCTATTTAAAAGTTTATCACTTGTATATTTTTACCTTTTTTTTTTTTTTTTTTTTTTTAAGCTGGACTGTATAAAAAAGCTATTTTTGGCTGTCAGCAGCTATATTGTTGCAGGGTCTTCAATTTTATGCCATATAGCTTTGCCTGTGAAGTCTGTAAAAGTATATTCACTTGAATGTTTTTTTGTATCTTACCACTAAACTTTTGCAAAGGGTCAGAATTCTCTTTCTGTGCTGTTAGTTCAGCAAAGCACTTATTTGTTTCCAGGAAACCTCAGGAAAAACAAACAAACAAACAAACAAACACAAAAACAAACAAACAAAAACAAACAAACAAAAAAACAATTAACAGACTCCTGCTTCTGAAGAGTAAGAGATTTCATCGTGCAATGATTACAGCTTTGATGAAATACTTTCTTTCTGCATTTACCTGCCTTGACAATATTCTCCCCAACAATATTTCTAGAGAAGCAGAAGGAGCAGTCCTGCTCCTATCTCTGTAACACATTTCAGAGGATAGGAGCACACCAGTACAGACAGCTCAGTGAACAGCTGTGAGCGAGCAAAGCAAACATTGTGAAGAATGGAACAGCGAGCCTTTAAATTTGGGATGCTGTTGTGTAAAGGAGCAATTCTTCCATCTTGAAAGGATATTGAAGAACTAAAACAAGGTTCTGGGCAGGGAAGCAGGATTGCTGAAGGGAATGGAAAAAATTCTTGCTCTAAGAGAGATCAAAAGCATTCGAAGTCTTGCCTCTGAGAGGAGATAACTGAAAGGATATGAGTTGATCACAGCACAAAATAAACAGTGCTCTAAAAGTAGCCAAGGCTCCTCTCTGAACAAAGGAATGCTCAGTGACACTATGTGAGTGTTGAGTTCAAAATCACTAAAAGGATTTGCAATATTCATACAAATTGTCAGCCTCTGTGTTGCAGCTGGACCCTTCTTTCCTATCACCTGCATTTCCCTGCAAAACTCCACCTTCCCCTGTGTTCCCTCCCCAGCCTTGTGGCAGTACCACCATCCATTACAAGAACCCCAAGTCCCATGTTCCCATCCTATCCTTGCAGGGTCTTTGTAAGAAAAACTTGTTCTTATGTTTAAATCTCTTGTTTGAATTTGTGCCCATTGCCTCTTGTTCTTACGAGACTACTTTTAAGTTTGATGTCTGTGAGAGCTCTGCTTCTGTGTGAACTATGACTGAAACTATCCAGTGATTTCAAAAACTCTTAAGAGAACAGGCAGCAGGGTGGGCATAAAATCATCCCAGCATAATTGGATTTCACATAACGATGTTAATGCCTAAAAGAGGAAGACTGTGTGAATGGGTTGGGGGAAGAGGAAGCAGCCAGAAGCTACCTGTGGTTGTTTCGAGTCCTTACAGATTTTGGAGAAGAGCAACTAGCTCCTTCATGCTGTGGTACTTCCAGGGAACTTGCATACGGAATTTCTGTAGGATATATTGAATATCAAGACCTATTCTAAAGTAATTATTACGTTATTTTTTTTTTCCCATGTGTTTCAGAAACAGCTAATAACAAGGAATAGAAGCTATGTCTGTAAGAACATCCTCTTCGTGGGCCGGCTCTTCTGTCCACATGGACATTTTTAAATTTTATTAAGTTGGGAAAATAGAGCTTTTGTAGAACACAAACATGAATAAGAGACATCAGAAAAAGTTTTATATAATATATATATTTTTGAAGTCAAGCTGCCAAGGCTTCAAGTATTTGGAATGCCTGAACCCTCACCTCCCTGCCACAGAGTGCCTTCTGTACACTGCTAGCACAGTGGAATAGCTTTCTGACAGGAGTACAATAATTCAGTTTTCAATTAAGAATATGTCCAGGTTCCCATAACCAACTTTAATTCTTTGAAGCCTTCAACCAGCATTATATAGGATGAAGAATATAGTGTAGCATTTCACTTTATTTAATAGTAGTGTAAGTAGGTAGAAATGGAAGTCCTGCTCCTGAGAACTCTTGCACACGCAGGCAATTTCTCTGAGTGCCTGGACTACCAGTTTATGGAGCTGCTGAAGTGTACAGCACACAGAGGACTGGAAACCCCAAATTGCCCATTTACTAAATGCAGAGGCTAGTTTTTTCACAAAATGGAAGATACACAGGGTGCAACATCCAGGAAGCAAGTAGGTGTCTATTGCTAACTCTCCATTTTTAAACACATCTATTGAAAGGGTGGTAGTACAATATATGTAATAACTTCTGCATAACTGGAAGAAAAAAAGGCATTTTAAACTAGGAGTAGGATGTTTTAGTCTTTTAAGTTCTGGCACACTTAAAATATAAATTCACAGCAGTTAAAACACATGGTGACTAATAAGCCATCTTTAGCCACATAGCTCCTAATATACACTTGTGGCTTCTAAAATAGATTTCTGACTAAAACATATAGAAGCCTGTTCCTAAGGGAGAATTCATCTATTAAATTTCCCTGTAGAGCTGTCCTCCAGAAGAAACACGCATTCAGGGACTGTGTTATCTTCCAAAATGCAAAGCAATTATTTTGGAGCTGAAGCAGAATGACAAATCCTTCAGACTTCCTGTGGAGTTGATGAATACAACCGATGTCATGGATCTGACAGAGAGTAGAAATTTGCTCTGACAGTGAATGTTGCAAAGGGACTATATGTCTTTATTGGGGACTGTGTTTACAGGATTCTCTGGCATAAGGAAGTAGACTGTGGAGAAAAGGTCAAGTATCTAAAAGGGGCAAGCACGTGTTACTATTTTTATTAGCTTTATTGTACAAAAGGACTGCACAAATATTTTATCACCAGCAGCAAATTACAAAAATCAACTTTAAGATAAGTGTTATGCTGCACATGCACATCTGACTCTGGATGACTTTGGTTTGTATTAGATAATATTCATTGATAACCCTGGCCTACCAGCTTTTTACTTGAGCTGGTATTTCTTTGCTACATCACTGCATCTAAGGTTTTCTGATTATCAGCAATCTTTTCAGTCTACAGCTATCTTGTCAACTTCACTTAAGGTTGCCTAGCAGCATAAACTTCTAAAACCAAAACGCATACTGTCTTTTAAAGGATTATTTTATTGTGGTAGGTGGATGCTGCAATTTTATTTTTTATTTTTACTTGTCTTCTGTAATAAGAAAGTCAAAACAAGTAGCTGATTCTATTAAAAATCTGTTGACATTAAAGTGGAAATTAAAAATTCTAACAGAGGTAGTCAACCCTTTTGTCCACGCCAGAATCACTCTTGCTGCTGCTTTTGTTACAATGAAGACGGGTGACAATATACAACCTTACCTCATCGTTCAACTTTTTCAAGTCACTAAAAGCAATGCTAATTGGAAACGAGGAGTGTGAGCCAGTTATAACTCAGGTCAGCCCTTCTCTATCATCTTCAGTCCTTGCATATTTTGTGATTACAATAAATGAAAGCTATTTTACCTTTTCCTTCGCAAAAAGTGCAATATGCTTGATATTGTGTTAAACATGAAATGTTAATTGGATAAATTACCACAAAGTCCACCAAAATTGGATAAATTACCACCTGGATGCTAAGGTTAAACTGAACCTCTCTGCCTTGAGAAACAGGACAATCACTGTCCCACTGTGGCCTAGTATTTACTGTCTGTGAGCTACCAAAGCACATACCCTGCATAAAGGGACAAAATACAGGCAGTTATTTGCTTCCACAAACCTGTGGATATCACCAAGATCACCAAGGGCAGAAATTGGTCTGTGGATCAAAGAGCTTTCTCATTTAAAGGCTGAGGATGTGCTCTGATGTCTCTCCTTACAAGATATACCTCCAGAGCTAGGACAAGGTACCTTAGTTTTTTTTTAATTTTATTTTAAATAACCAAAATAAAAACCAATTTTTAGAAGCATCCATCAAAATCTAGATGATCTTCAGTCCTTACCTTCATCCAAGCTAGTAGTTATCCCATGCTGGGATAACTGGGTACCAAGCAGGACCCCTGAAGTAGGAAATCTCCAAGCTAACAAGAAAGTTCTGGTAAGAATTTTGTTTGAATTACCAAAAAACATAGCCCTAGAGAAGGTTAATTTGGGACCCCACTGGCTCTGTGCAGACAAACACACATAGTGTTAGGATCCCAGAAGATACTCAGCAGTCTGCCTTGCTACAGCTGGCTCTTTCACTTAATGCATAACTTCCCTCAGATAAAAACTGCAGCAAGAGTTTTAAATTAAAAACAAAACACAACTTTAAATTAGTCTCTGGTTTAACAGAGAACAGTTTTATTAAAATTATGTACTGAACTTTATTTTTGTGTTGCTTAATCCGTAGACAACATAATCACTAGAAAAAGTCCGAAGTACCTGGTAGAACAAGCAAAATTAAGAACTGCTTTGCTTTTATGAAACCAGAATGGAACCAGAGATTTTTTTTTTTTTAATTATTTTTCCTCTCTAAAGTTACATGTGATTGAAACAAACTTTAAATGGAGAAATTACTGTCACAGGCTGAATGGCAACTTCCTATTTTTCATGCTAGCAGCGCAGTCCCACAAACGAGAAAAACAACCTTTGTTTAACTTAGTTCCACTTTGAACAAGATTTCTTAAATATTTTATACTTTGCTGAACAGGAGATATCCACAATACTTGCTTTTCATATTAGAGAATTATGGGGCTTTGCCTTTTTATTTAAAAAATAGAATCAAGAAATATAATTCTTCTTAAAAAATTAAAAGTTTTAAACATGTTTGTGGAAAGTTGATTTTATGTTAAGAACTGCTGTTACAGTTTTAAATAAAAGTTTACCTCTGTTATTCAAGATTTTGTGTACCTGAAGGATACATTTAAGTCTGAGACATTCAAGAAGCCATGCAACTGGAGTTCAGCTAAAAGCTAGATGATCTTATAGCTAAAAGTGAATTTTAATTCCTGGCTGTTTGCAGAATTTTCCTTACTTACTGATACAACCATTTTTAATGGAAATGGTGTATTGACTCTTACTAGTTCCATCCAGCGTGCATTTTCTTGGGGTGCTTCACTTACATATCACTCTCAGCGTACACCTTACTGGGGAAAGTAATAGTATATTCACAGCCCTTTGTACCAGACAGCAGCAAGAAAAATAAAAAAAATAAGAGAAACAATTAACTAACTACATACATACTGCCATCTAGTGTTAGGTTTAAGATTGGCAGAGCAGCAACACAGCACAAGTAAAGCAGGCAGGCATCATAGTAAAGAATGTTGTGAGAGATAATAAGGGATAACTCTTGCTATTACCTAAGACTAAACTTAGATCACGTTCAACACTATTGCAATCTGCTTGTGGAAATAATTCTGCAACAAAAAAAGTTAAAGTACTGATATGTGAGTAAAGTTGTAACAAACACATAAATATAAATTGGGAATCTGTTTAAATAATTTAACCAAATTTAGTAACATTATTCCTAACTGACAAAATGTTGCTTCATTTTCTCTGTTTCTTAGAAAATTGTCAGAAAGTATCTGGTACTAACATGAAAACATCTATTACTGTTTATGCTTAGGTGGGATTGCTTAAGTTAGAGATGTGGAATATAAGAGATAGCAGTAGTATAGCCAAGGAGAGAGAGAAAGAGCAGAACCACAACTAATAGCTTTTATTTGTAAAATTTCTAAAACTTGTAGAAAGTTTATATGCAGAAGAGTCCGGTACTTTTCTAAGGTTATTGCTTGATAATCAGATAGCAAACAATGTATATTCATTTACCCTGAATAAACCAATATTGTGTTTAGATACATGGCTGCAGGGGAAGAGAGGGGACCATCTCTACAATGAGGTAGCTGACTTTTCAAAGCAGTTCTGTAAAAACATGGTATTCATTTCTACTGGCTTAGATAAAAGATGAATGCAGAGGGATGGAGTAACTTATTAACATCACCAGTCTGACTTCCCAGGATTGCTTAAACACCCCACCAAGCAGATGCTTCTGTTCTTGATGACAGAGAGAAAAATGCGAAGAACTGTAATGCCACAGTAGCAGAAAGCTTTCTGTCTTGAAGGATTATTTTTCATCCTTTGCTATTAGGTAATAGGTAATTCAAACCAAAAGAATAGGTTTATAATTTCTTATTGAAGAAGCAAAATCAGGACTTCCTTTGTAATAGAGCATAAAAGCATTATCAGGAAAACAAAAGTTTGTTCCTAGAAAAGACAAGCACATTTTTAAAGATATAATTATCATTTATTGTCATTAAACGGGATATTTTCCCTCTTACAATTGGAATGTCTTCTTTTTTCCACTCACCAGAACATAGTAAAAGTTGAATTAGTATGAGAAAGACTATGAAAAAGGTTGCAGGAATGGATTAATTTGCAGGTGATTTACAACTATGAGGACATTACTTCAGAGAAGCATCATTTTCTTCTTTCTGAAATGAGTATTCACCCTCCTAAGAAATCACTTCTTTATGAAGAAAATGTGAGCAAGTTCCAACACTAATCTATTCTGTAAAGAAAGCGTTTAAGATAGTTTAGAAGTTAATACAACAGAATTCTCCAAAACACAGAAGTGAAAATGTATACTAATTCAAGTATTCTACTATTTTTCATTTCTGACCTTTTTCTTATTTAAAATAATTACTAAAAACCTACTGTTACAAGTCATTAGTTTTCCATGTCCAGATCACCCACAGTGTAACTGTCATCCATCCATCTAAAATGAGTACTTTAGTATCTGAATACCTTGTCACCATCACAACATAAGGCCCCTGCTCTATGACCAGGCTCAATGGATTTTAGCAGTGCTTCCATGTGTTTCTGGGTAAGCTTGTATTTTATACAAGCTTGTATTTTATAGACCACAAGGCCACAATCTGGAAGAAAGCACCTGTCCTAGGTGTAGGATACTCAGCCTTTCCTTATAGAGAGGCTGAAACATCCTGGATGGGTCCTTGGATGGCAATTGCTTCAATCTCAACTCGGGCACCCTGTGAGACAGCAATAAAGAAACATATTAGGAATTTAAAGTATCTATTTTACGAAGCAATTGGATATATAACATGACCTGATAAGAACAAAGAGCGACATTTTAAGGGGATTATATTTCTGACAGTGGTATTACTGATTTAGCAATGTTAACATTGAAAATTCACTTTACTCTTCCTTACATACCAGAAACCCTTACTTCTACAGTTGTAGCCATCTTCCATTACAGAGCAAGGTATCTCATTTCAGAACTCTTGTATGGGGGAATAAGACCAGCATACTTAAAAGAAATTATTATTTTATTCAATAAAATAATCATAATTGAAGCTATTACAGAAGAAGGAAAGTTGCCATAACGTTTCAGAAGCAAGTACTTAAAATGACACTTACTTTTGGCAAAGCAGCAACTTGATAGGCTGCTCTGGCTGGGAAATTGGACTTGAAAACTGTAATTGAAAACAAAACCATCCACTAATCATTTAACTTTGCTTGATAAACCACACGGTTCTAAGTCATCTGTATAAAATGCAGTCACTAGAATGGTTTCAGGTTCAATTAGACAAGACAGATAAGCTTCTGTCCCAGCTTTCTTCTCCACCCACATCCTCTTTTTTATTTATTATATCACTGACTGTTCTAGTATCTCAAAAAGCTACTGTTCATCATCAAGAAGGCAGCTTCAATTGTGATCTAGTGGACAGAGATAACTTGCACTCTGCTGACACTGCATGGGTTTGACACCAACTTGTCTGAAACAGCAATATTGAACCAGAATGGTGATCAGCCCGTGCAAAGACTGGAGAATGGGAGAGGGCTCTTTCACAGACAGAGGAAGAAGGAGAAACAGTGGCAGGAGTCATGAGCAAAGATCCCAGATTTGTGTAGAATTACTAGGGGTAAACCTTGCTCATATCAAAGGAAGGCAGACAAAATAGGCCCTGACCTAGTCCTCCATTCCCAATTAGGCCCGGAGCTCAAGCATACTAAAATAACAGGAAGAAAAGGCTATCAGTCAAGATATGAGCTGAATTTGCATAATTAAATATAAGTTTTTCTAGTGAGAGTTAATGCTAGGCTCAGAAATGGCACTTCCATGCTCCTGCACTAACAAAGTTAATAACTCACATCAAAGAACAGCAACAACAGCTTTCCTGAACAACAGGTAGGAGGTCTGTTTGGCAACAAGTAGCTAAGTATCCAGCTGGTCTGTTTTTCCTCCACTTAAACACACACAATTCCATCTTGAAATACAGAAGACTGTACCGATTGCTCATGAATAAAAGACTTTATTCAGGACCAGATGTTACTATCTAATTAAAATCCAAACCTACATAAATAAGGAACTTATGTGCAGAGCCTCCCAAATTCTTCTGCACAACATGGCTCACAAATCACCTACTTCAGCTTAGATTCAGTTTGTTTAACCCAGCACTATTCTTGTATTCCACAGTGCAGAAGGGTGACTCATCCTCATAAGCAAGCTTTGTCCCATAACAATAGCACAGAAATTATTAAAAGATAGAGATTTTAAAGAAATAAAAATATACAACCTGAAATTAAGCATTTTAAGGCTGCCTACAACAGAATTATATTAGGAAAAAAAGACTATCTATCAAAGCAAAAAGAAGATTAACTTGTAGGGTTGATTTTCATATGAAAAGTTAGTGGGATGGTAGGACATGAGTCCATATGAAATTCATCTGTACTTGTTTGGGTGTTTGCAAGTAAATTGCTTTGATTTAATGTTGTATTTCTCATGAAATCTCAAAGAATGTGGAACTAAATCATCTGAGTCATTAAAACACCGCTTACAGCGAGTGTAATTAGTTCTACAAGCCATACTGGTAAAACAAACAAAAAAATTCTACTTACATTGTTTGTAAATATCGTTAATATCATTGAAGTCCTTCATGTCTGCCATCAAAACTGTAGTCTTCACAACTAGAAATTACATAACTGCAGTTATTTTGTGAGTTTCTTGCTTTTATTCCATGAATGTATCTCAAACATTTATAAATAGATATTATATATAAATATATATATAAACATATTATAAACATTTTGAAAAGTTTTCCAAACCGATATTGACCATTAGATCTACTACCTACAGAAATACCTGAAAAAAATCTTAATAACTAGTACATAAAACTCTAAGGAATTAGATATTCCTGACCTGTTTTGAAAGTATCTGTTTTAAATTTCATTATAAGCCCAATTCTAAGAAGCACTGAACTGATGAAGCAGGTTGATTTAAGAAAGCTATTGTAAGCCAACTGTTGGAAAAAAAATATATAGCTGCTGCCAAAAAGAGTCCATAAAATGTCTGAAGATACAGTCTATGCTAGAATTTTTTACCCATGACTGCCTAAGCCAATATTAATCCTGGTTTGGCTCCACTATTAGAATCTGCTTCAAAAGAAAATGTAATGAAAGTGCCTAGAACACAAACACCACAGACATAGACCTGCTTTTACCAGAAGTAATGTCTAGGACATTTAAAATGCCTGTAGTCAACTGCAGCTCTATCTACACCTGAGCTTCTTCAATTAGCATTAAAAAAAGTTAGTATTATGGTCAGAAACTCTGGGGAAAGGTAGTGTCCCATTGATACCCATCACATAAAGACTTGCACGTTGATTTTTTTCCCTTTATAGCTATTTATAACAACTGCATATTTAGCAAAAAGCTTTATTTTATTTTAGAGGTCACTTTTTTTTAAGTTGATGTGAAAATAATGACTTGTTTGCCATCCTCATAACAGCACCTACCATTGCCATAGTCACAGCCTGCAGCTTTCAGGATTTCTCCCATGTTCTTTAGAGCCTAATGAGAAACGAGATAAAAATATTTAAATATCAGCAAGGTTGTATTTAGGTAAATATGTAAACATGAGTTGTAATCTAGCTACAGATCCATGTGTAGTTCACCCAGCAAGCCGTCAACAGTCATCAGTGGGTAAGAAAAAAAACTGAAATAGATTAAAAAGTAAATTAATGAAAGGGAACGTCTAATAAACCCCCATCCATTCATTACATGCAAATGCAGGATGCAGCTCAATCTCATCCTAACTACTCACACAGCTTCTTTGCTGCTGGGGGAACAAATCTTCCCCCCACTCAAGCCACTGGGGTCAAACCTTTGTTCAAAACATTGATTCTTTCCTACTTGAAATACAGAGTCCTCCCTTGACTTCCAAGTTGCTTGGATGGAAAACGACAAGGATGAAATTACTTCTTACTTTTACCTCACCTTGGAGGATGTGCAATGTGCTCTCTAATACTCTTCAATTTCTCATCAGTCTACATTTAAAAAAGCACAGGCCAACTCCATTAAAAGTTTATTGCCAGAACACATCTTACCTGCTTAGCTTCTTCCTTTGCACCTCCGGAGACTAGCTGCCCACTGGAAGGCTCTATACCAATCTGTCCTGCAATGTACATGGTCCGGTCTACAAGCACCGCTTGGCTGAAAACAGAAGAGACATTTTACATTGAAAGCTTCCCCACCAAAAACGTTTAACTATTCAAAAGCACTCCCTTGTAAGCACATTTCACATTTTCTTCAGTCATTTGTAATATCTTGGAAATGTACGTTATCAGAGAACCATCTAGGTTGGAAAAGATCTTCAAAAATATCAAGTCTGACCTGCTGAGTTCCATCACTAAACCACACTGCTTGGTGCCACAGGTTACGCGTGCACAAGTTTAGACAAACTGTGTGTACAATCTGTGAGAGTTTGGTTCAGCTGGGACTGAACCACCCATGGAAGACAGCATAGCTCTGTCTTTGAGCTAACAAACCCTGGTTCTCAGGAAAGGATGAGTGCCCAATACTAACACAGCACTGCAGAAAAATGGGGGGAGGCAGAGTATCTCTATCCCAAAGAGCAATCCCTCTCCTTTGCACCACATAACCTGGGTGACCCCTTGGCTGGGTTAGCTCAGAAGACTGCAGAATTCGAGCTGTTTGCTAACCATTTCTATGTAAACATCAGGTATGAAGTCGAGTTAGCAATTATTAACATCTTTAATTACCACAAAATTAAGAGATTAAAACAAAGACTTAAACCATCAATTAGTCAAGAGACAGAGTTTACATCCCTCCAGCTGATAGCTAAAAATATTTCATAAAGAAATTAAAGAAAGGGTCTTCTCAAAACGTTTATGGTGTGTCAACACCATTTTTCTTATCTCTTCCCATTCCACAAGAAAATTTATTGTTCTAACAGCTGAACAAGCCCCTGAAGTTACACAAACTGGAGATAGGCACCTCCCTGAACTACCTAAATTAGCAGCTTAGCTTCCCTTTTATGTCAGTGGAGAAAGAAAGCCATTCTTTCAGTTTTTACTACATCTCTTAATTGCTCAATCCATTGACTTTACATGGGCCTAACC